GCCTCAGAGGGTTCTCACGAATGCTATCGAGGCAGTCCTTCGAGCACAGCCTGTTGTCAATCTCAATGACAATCTCCGCAATGGCATTGGTCTTGAACTCAAAAGCCGGAGATGCTGTCAGAGAATAGGTGATCTTACCCTCAAACGTCAGCAGCGTCACGATGCGCTTATAGCTGGTGTTGATGACACCGTCATGAACCACAATCTCAAAAGGGCCTGTTGCCAGCTTGGAAAACTGCTGGAGCTGCCCATGATCAATCACCGGGATAACAGCTGCCAATGGCTGTTTGGTCTGAATCTTGGCGATCTCAGTGAGCTGATTCTTTGTGATCAGGACAATCCCCCCTTTTGCACCAGTGAGCTGATGTCGGTGCACCTGAGGAACAACAGACTTATCAGCCAGGCGGAAAGGATGGTCACTGTCAAGTCGCAAATCTTCCCACTTCGCTTGGGTAGCTGATGTCTTCTTTGCCCAGGGATCCCGGACCTGAAGAAGGTCGATCGTTGGGTCAACTTGCATAGCAACCGGTTGTGAGGGCTGCGAAGGAGAGGAAGCACCACCCGTTGTCAACGCCCCACCTGAAGCAAAAGCTGGAGTGAATCTGCCCCTGAACAGGTCATAGAGAAACCAGATAGTGGCATCTTGGGCAAAAGCATGTAGTCCTGGGATCGTGGATGTCACCCAGAGCTCATTCGCCTGTACTATCGCCTCTTGCAAACGAGAATCATCCATAGATGCAGCAATGCACTGAGTCACAGCAATGCCAGGACACGGCAGGGAGATCTCAAGCTTGTTGAATAACTCCTGGAGAAGGGTCCATCCACATAGCCCCAGCTGAGTGTCACATGAGAGGTGAATCAGCTGAAAAGCTTCCTCACCAAAGTTGATCAAGGAGCGGAGCTGGTCTGTCAGACATTGAAGATCATGTGCAAAGTCATGTGGCGCCAGCACCCAAGCGACCAACGAGTCTTGACGTCGATGAAACTCACATGAGATCCAATGCTGATCATACAATATCAGTGTGATGGCTCTTCGATGATATCGGCAATCATCACTGTATCCACTGAAGGTGCACAAGGTCCTCTGCTGTGAGTTCCACATGACAGGAGCCGTGAAGGCAATCGCGGGCAATGCAGTTCGTAGATGCTGCAAAGTACAGTCGGCAACGTCACTGCCAAGCCATCCTGGGAATCGATGAAACTCATCTACTCGGCGATTCTGGAACTCCTTCAGGAACTTGTTGTATTCTTCAAAGTAAAGGATTCTGCCAGGACATTAGAGTTGGTCCTCGAGGAAGGTCAACAATGATCGTATGATCAACAACCGGTGCCGCATCATTCTCAGCTAGTGCCATGTGGTAGAAGCAGCCCAGGCGAATTTGGTGTGCAAAGTGCCAAAGCTCCGGTGTAGCCTCGACTGCAAGCCAGTCCTCAACCGAGCTGGACAGGACATCATGGACCAAGGAGTATTTCCATTCCACAAGATCTTCAAGGTCCTCCTCATAGGAGTGTAGTTGATCATGTTGACCAAGCTTCTCATACCAGCGAAAAATCAGAGCCCAGCCGCACATATTGAAAGGCTGAGTAAAAGCATGAACAAAACTCTGAATCTTTCTCCCAGTAGTGTCCAGTCGACGAGCTAGGATCTGTGTAAGTCGATGGGCCTTGGGGCTGTCAATGCCAAGAAAGGTGATCAAGACATCATCTCCACAGCGGGTGACTTCACAACCTGCCCAGTGCGACCCGATAAGGATGGCCAACCATGAGGTGCTGCCCGGCGGAAGGTTTGGCAGTATGAAAGTCGTTTCATCAAGATCAGCATCCTGGCCGTTCCATTGCAGAATAGCAAAAGTCCTGTTGGAGCCTCCACGAGTCTCAAGGAGCCATCTCATTGCATAGTTGAGCTCATCGGATGCACACCATCCATTGGTGTTGATGGCGAATTCACATCTTTCAGAGAAATTTGCTCCCGCTCGAAGATGCCAGGTGACCTGAGTGCTGTCAGGGTGGCCTCCAGCAAACACTCGCTGAGTGTTTTCAACCCTCCGAAGAAGAGGGTCCTGGTGAACAACAGTGAGCACATCCCCAGTGCGGCATTCGTGAACTTGGTTACCATCGAAGGTCATGCCATTGATTCTCTGAATCACAAAGATCTGGCCATTTCGATGAATGGTTGTGGTAGGAGAGATATATCCCTCGACATCAATGATCTGGTAGTCGATGATGTTGGATAGGTTCTCGATGATCACACTGCACTGACGAAGATCTGGGTTGTGGAGCAACCACCATTCATGACCAGGGAGACGAACTGAGCGGCTATTCATGGACCGAAAAGTCCACTGCGCAAATCCAAAGCGATGCAGCATAGCATGGATCTCTTCAAATCCGGCATTGGCTTCCTTGGTGGTGACGAAGACTACTTGTGGGTCAACGCAGCAAATGACGATCGGATTGGATGGCCCATCACTGCTCAGCAGACCCTCGGTGGATGCAGCTTCAAAGAATCTGATCATGGCAATGAAACTGTCCTTGGCAATTTCCTGATCAAAGGACTGTGAGGGAATCTGAATGCTCTCAACCTGAGGTACAGGAACGAAGGGGCACGTCGGAGTGATGATAGGATCACTCTCCTGCAGATTGGGCTCTTCGAACTGCAAAACAGCAACCCGGCTGTCCGCTGCACATACATCCCACGAACTTGAAATGGCCATGAGATCCTGGATCAAATCAGCAGCTGATGCTACCACCAAGCCAGTCCGAAGGGAAATCTGCAAGAGAACGTGCGGTTCGAAATGCGCAAAGTTGGCTAGCAACTGTGCAACTGTCCAGGTCTCTGAACAAGAGCCTTCAATCGGATGGTGATCATCCGCTCGCTGCAAAGCATACTTCATAGGGTGCATGCACACCGGCGCTGGTTGGAAGGAGATCCTATCCCAAAACAACCTAGCATCAACAATCGAAATGAAACAATCTTCCTTCACAATGACAGCATTATGCACAGTGAGACGCTTGTTCCAAATCCCTTCAACAAAATGCTCAACATTGATGGACATTCGATTGATTGCCTGGAGCCCTACAAGAATGGCAGTGGCGGCTTGCGGGACCGAGACTGCGTTGCCCAATCCATGAAACGCTTCGAACGGGTCCGAAGGCAGCGAAATGCGGTTGGTGCCTCCCAATAGTGCTACAATCCGAGCTGGATCGATGAAAGCGAAAGAACCCTGGTATTCCTCCAAGCAAGCAAACAAACCCTTATTGGCAACATGGTCAGGATCCAATTCATGTTGTTTACCGTACATGGCACAAAAGGTCGGAAGCGGTTCATGCAGTGGGGCAGCTCTCTGCGCGAGGACTTGCTCCTGGGAACGGTCCGACATGCATCTGGCCTTCTTCGAGGGAGGCAAAAGGTGATGCGCACCATAGATGGTCTTCAGGTCATTTGTCAGGTGAAGTGCATCTCGAAATTCCTGAGGCAGATAAAACCGATAAATGGAGTCATGCCATGAAACCCTTGACGAAGCTTGGAGTACATATGCACGCTGATTGGGATCGAACGAGTGATCTGCACGGATCCAAGCCGAAAGCCACCTATCCCTGTGGTTATCTGACAGACGATGAAACTGAAGATTCTGTTGCCAGATGCGCTTATATCCTCCTAATTTGAGCATGTGTGAGACCAACCCAAAGTGCTGATGATGAATGATCTCATCAGCGCATTCGAACAGTTGAATGCTCGGGCGGAGAACAAAGACTATGACCAGCGCTTCGATGAATGCATATCCAGCATCTGAGTTGAGGCCCTTCGACTTTCCTGCTTTGCTCCAAGAAACGCAAGGTGGCGATGCCATACCAATCGAGTTCATTCGAAAATCGACCTGATGGATCAAGGAAGTGTCCCCTACCGAGGTGCAAACCCCTATGTGTCCACACGGATTCCATGAGCGAGCTGGTTGGGATTTGCCAAGATGATGTGGTTTACCAACCTGGTGGGACCACAAACTCATCGTGACTGGGTCACTGTCAACGCATACTTGTTGCCCCAATGGCGGAAAGGAAACATCATGAAAGATGGCTTCCATGGCTTGAGACCAACCATTGAATGATCCAGCAAAAAGGTGAAAGGAATTCACCGGGATGCTCCAATCCCACTCGGCCACTGGGACGATACACGTGTTCGCCTCAAAATGAAAACCATTCTCATGCTCGGATTCAATCTTGCCAAAAAGGGTGACGGAATCACCCACACACATGTTGTGAGCTCTCGTGGAAAGGAGCGGCGCATGTACATCCCATGGAGCATGCGGCTTCACCACAAATCCCAAACCCGGTTGGAAGAAGTGCGGACACAGCCTCACCAAATCACCTTCAGTCGACACAACACTACCCTGAAGCAAGCACTTATTGGAAAATCTGATCATGAAACCAGGTGTTCCCAAAGCACCAGCAACATCCAACAGCTTGGATTTCCACGGGTCCACAATCTTTTTGGCGATCATTGACATCAATCGACTCAGAACTTCGTCACCATGGCCTGTCGATACCACATGTGAACTCATTGCCACTCAGACCGAGATGCGGCCCGGGTGCAGGGCCACTTAGTGGACACCACCCCCCGATCGCGAGATCAGGCCAGTGGCCCTAGGTGTCTCGTGCACCTTCAGCCCCACGGCCTTGAGCCTAGAGAGCTAGGTAGTCTATTCTGTTCATTTTGGTTGGTCATCCAATGTTCAAGGATCCTTTGGATGGTCAAAGAACACATGTCCGGAACTCAGGGATTGTTCGATGGGTCCGAAACCTCAAATCCCCATATAGGTGAACTGAGAGAGACTGGCGCCACTGATCCAGACCTGGCAGGTGGACCAAAAAGAAAAGAACCTCAGATGGGGCCCCCGATCTTACCTCGAGTTACCCCCGGCCCCGGCAGAGTTTCCCGTGAGCTGATCTTCAAAAAAAGGCATTCATAAACAATGTGGCATCATGAAGGGCTCCAGAAATCCAAGGTTCAGAGCAAGTGACTTCATGGGAGCAGCCACTTGGCTGGAGGATGGGGGGATATGGGGGGCATGGCCTGGATAGGGGGGGTTGTTGGCTGACCCAGGGCCTTGGTTGGTTGATCTTTGTTGAGGATGAGACCCTCAGGTCATGAACAAGCAAGTTGGGTCAATGATGGTACCCAGCTCTGCCCAAAGAAAACTCTTTGGCCTTTGGCGTTCAGATTCCCAAGCCCATCCTTTTGGGCTTGATGGTGGCGGAACTCTGACCTGAATGACCCTGCATGTTGACGCTCTTTGGGTGGTGCAGGTTGCCTCGCCTCGACTCGGCCTCCGCGGATCGTTGGAGAAGCGGGGACACCGGTGGGTGCCTGGACGATAAGGGAAGTGATTCTTCTCATTGGTTCTCCTCGTTTTTAGGTCTTTGATTCGAAAAAACGAAGAGATGTTTTCTCGTACTTGGCTGGTTCTTGACCTCTTCCACTCATTGGCTGAGGCTCTATAGATACTGCAGCAAGAAATGTATACTGTATACATATATATATATATATTTAGACATTTCTTGTGGAACTCTCCAAGAGAAAAGCATCGCCGTGAACTTCTAGGGGATGTGGTATGTATGAGCAAGGGCCAAAGGATCCTATGTTTTAGAGGCGGACCACCATTGACTTTGTAAAACTCTGCAATTACTGTGTGTGTGTGTGTTGCGATTGGGCGCCTCTTAAACTCAAACTAGGATATGTTGGCCATTGCTCACAAGGACTCTCCAGGACCCTCCAAGGGGTGTCTATTTATAGCCCCATAGCTGTTAAGGGGTGTCCAACGATTAACCACCCCTTGGGGGTCCTGGTAGTTTAGATTATCTAGCTTGGTAACATTTGCATTACATTTGCTTTCCTCTTCCAGCTGGGGGCAGCATGTATTTGGACGTGTGTGTGTGTGTGTGTGTTTGAGTCATGTTGCGTGTGTTTGGTGAGATGTTTCACCTAACCCGCCAGTGACGTGATGAAGTTTGCCCAAGGACCACGTTGCTTGGATCTTTGCCATGGATACCCAAACCATCATCACCACCTTTGAACATGCTACTTTAGCTTGAACAGGCCGAATAGCTCGGACCCCAGAAGCTGGAGAGCTCGGACCAGGTTCGCCACGTCCATCGAATCGTCCTTCTCAGGCAGACGCTTTGCAGCCTTCATGCCATCATGAAACAGGTGGAGAAGACCTCCGCCCAGGCGCTTGGCACCTCCGGCACCTCCGGAACGCCGCGAATCACGCCCGAAGTCGCCGCCTTCGATCCCGGTCGCGTCCCGGTCGCGAAGCGGGTGGGGAGCCGGGAGCCGGGAGCTGGGAGGGAGCGGTGTTTGTCTCGGCGCCGTTTGGGCGGCTTGTGGAGGGCGGATTTGGTTAGAGAAGGCTTCTTCAACGCTGGGAATCCGGTGTTTCAGGACCGGTGAGACCCTTTGGACCAATTTGGAGAAGGGCCCTGGCACAAAGGAAATGCCCTGGGCCCTTGGATGACTTTTTTCAGAGGTTTAAGGAGTGAACGTTGGTCGCACAGGCAGACAGGGACTTGCAGGAGATGCAGGGAGCTCAGAGATTGGGACGTGTGGCTGACATGTTCAGGCTCACAGTTGATGAATTAAACACTTGTTTCTTTTGATTCACTTTTACTTTGCAACCCTATTTGATCCTATTATTTGTGAATGACTACCCCAGTTGACTAATAGTTTTGTGAAGGATAAGACCACCATCCAGGCAACAGTCGGATAGTGAAACCTCTTCTACCTCTCGCGCTCACGTGGTCACTTGCGTGAGACTCTACCACAGGCTTCCACCTGTTGGTAAACACCCAACTAAGGAAGACCCTTTCAGGGTCAAACCCCAAAAACGGGGACACACCAAGCTAGACAGGGAAGAAGAAACGGGAAAAGCCCGAGACAGTGAAACCTCTTCATGTGGAGGGTATTATTCATCAACAGCCTACACTCTAGATGGAAACCCTCGCAGTCAGCTAAACCATGTGGTTGTTTAGATGAGTGGATGGAGGAAGAGATGGAGAGGGGAAGCGAGAGAGGGAGGGAGAGAGAGAGAGAGAGAGAGAGAAGAAAAAAAAGAGGAAGAGGCACAGAGACTCAAGCCATTTTGACTCATGACTCATGACTCATCTTATGTTTGAAGTGTGTAGATAGAACATGATAGAGCTCATTTGTTTGAGTGGAGATTATAAACACTCAACTTGCCCAAGCCACCGGTTTCACGACTATTTGAGCATGCATGGTAGAGAACATCCTGGCAGGTCGAGTTGGATACTCAAGCTTTCGACAGTTCTTTTTCATGAAGATGTAGGGATGTCGCTTCCAATCTGCTATGGGGATGGGTCAAAACTTGGAGCCCGACCAGTGAAAAGCATGTCATGCAGCCATAGGCTCGGTAGGTCAACCGGTCGGTCTCCTGGTGCCATGACTCGGTAGGCCGTATGCCTGTCAAACAGCAAACTCGACTGTTTCCAGGTGGTTTTTTCTCCAAGCAAAGCGTTGATGTAGCACGACCACGAGCGCGAAAGGAACACACATACGGTGAACGGCCACATCCGGGGTCCCATTCTCCAATTCTCCCTGAGCCCGTCATGGATTCGACTGAAGTGGAGTCCCCTGGCTCGCAAAAGCACGCTCATTCACCTACTTGGTCTTTGGGGCATGCTTGCACATGGTTTTTGGCGGTTCAAAATCAGAGTTTTCAGGGGAACATGTACTGATTTGGGATTCATTGTCCCATCTGATGGCCCTTGGTCATTTGCCTTGACACAGGAAAACAAAACAATCGAGTAAACGTCTAGGACATGAGACGTGAGAGGTCTGCATGGACTTGCAGATTCTTCTCCACCCCACCCCACCAAATCCACTGAGGCATCGCTATGTGAAGAAGGCACAGGAGGCGAATCGCCTGCACGCGGAGCTCCTTGGGCGCCGTGGGGTGCCCCTGTCGCGACAGGTGGGAGGAAGAGTGGAGCGGGATATAGGAGTGGCTTTGTATGGTAGGACGTAGGACGTGGGATGTGAAGATTGGAGGATGTTGGCGGCCCTTGGGATGCGACGTGGATTCGAATTCGGGAGAAAAGACATTCGACGTCGACGTGGATGATAGGAGTAGCTCAAATCTTTCTCAATCAAGACGTCCTCAGAGTCACTAGTACTGCTTGGCTGAGCTTCCGGTCCTCCGAGCTCGCCCAAGGACCCTCGCCGGCGGAAACGCCTTAGGACCACGCCCCGTGGTGCGGAAGAATGCTTTTCAAAAAGGACCATATACACTCCGACTCACTAACATGGAAGTGGAAGTGGAAAACCCCCTGTTCGTAAAGGAAAGTAGTCTTCCAAGAGACCATTTTCCACGTCCATGTTAATTAGTGAGTCCGAGTGTGGCTCCGAACCAACATGAACCAAGTGGAACATAGTGGAACATTGCCCCCCCTTGGAAGGCCAGCTTTTTCCTCTCTAGAAAACAGAGGGTGAAACCACGTCCATGTGACTTCCAGGGAGTCTCATGTCATGACCCGTCATGGCCGTCAAAACGCCCCGGCCGTATCCGTTCACCACACCGAAGACATGTTCCAACGCACGGGCCGGACCCCCCCAGACCCCCAGACCCGCCCCCGGGTTCCACGCCGTTCGGAACGCCAGAGCCGAGCTCCTTCCCAAGGGCTGGACTTGGACGTCTCGATCCCCGAGGAAGAGGCGTCGCCGGGTTCTCCCGCGGAAAGAGGAACCGAGCCAAGTACCCTCCGAGGAATAGATGGAACATGGCCTCACTGGGAAGACAGTGTGGCTGTAGAAACGGGGTGGTTTCCACTTCAATGTGATGTGTTCGGTGTTTGACGGAGTGTGGACAGACTTCTGTAATTATAGCACCCGACTGAATTGATTGGCAGTTTAATCCCGGGATAATCCCGTGGAGATTTGTTACCTGAGTAGTCCAGAAGAGCTTTTGCTGGAGCCGCGTTCTATCGCAGAAATGGTTCGTAAGCATCCAGGAGGCTTTGCAGGAGCTTCAGAAGCAGGAGGCTGGGACTGGCCCCGATGTGGAGCATTCTGGTGGAAGAGTGTGGCCGGTAACCCATCAAGAGTGGGTGGTTGGGGGTGATTTGTATAGCAGTCAGGAGGCTGACTGGATTCAGTAGGTGTTTTGGAGGTTTGTGGTATGCAGTCAGTAGGCCTAGTATGGCCTAGTAGATCATGATCCAGTCCTGAAAGTAGAGGTTGACATTCACACACGGGCGGGCAGTCGGGTAGTCTTTGTGGAAGTCTCGGATTTATGAGAGACTAGAGACTCCAGACCCAAAGCAACCTACTCTCCCGCAAACGAACAGCTAGCAGCTAACATGGAACCTGAGAATGTTTCTCGGTGCTTTCGACCCTTTTCCTCATACCAACCCCAGTGGGTTCGGGGTTCCATGTGGTCCGAATAGCAGGGGAGCTAACCAACGCCTGTCCAAAAGGTCCAAAGGGTGAGCATGCTGACCTGCAAGAAGGATCCTCGCCCTTTTTGGACCGCTCACATGTTTGCTTTATTAACTATTTGCCGCAGATTTGTTTGATTATTGATTAACTATTCAATTTACTATGTGATTATGAATCATGCCTTTTTGTTTGATCATTAATTGCCTCAGCTGATTTGGAAGACATCCCGCTCGACCTGTGAGACACTGGAAGACCCAGGCATGTGAGGCGAGCCAGTGATCCTTCTCATCAGGCTGCTCGACCTGCTCGAGCACCACCTGGGCGAGCAAGCCAACGACTGCGGGAGGCGGGAGGACTTTGTCACAGCAAAGATGATCCAGTCGTGGATGAAACAAACTGGAAGTCGAGACCGAGGGGGATAGATATAAAGATAAGATGAGATAAGTTGTTTCAAGTGAAACACGTGGCTTTGGATCACAAGTTGGAAGGGAAGAGTGAATGAGTTGCTTGTGGTTTCTTCACCAACAGGGATGCAGATAAGGAGTTTAAACATGCTGGGACAAACTCATATCAAGCAGATGTCCACGGCTGGATCAAATGTATCTCACTTGGTTGATAGGGCCACAAACGACGTAGAACAGATTGTAAATGATTGTCAAGTAGAAGTTGCTTGATGGATTGGCTCATCATGTTCCTTTTACCCTTGGGGATCCAAGGTCATGTAGGCCATACATTGGCAGCACCACGCATCGGATCCTTTGGTGGGTTCGGTTGGTTCGGTTGTGGCCTGGATCCCAGTCCATCCCACGCAGCTGTTTGGAGTCGACGGCATGACAGCATGACCAGACCAAGCCTTGAATGGCCCTAGGCCCTAGACCGTCCAGTTCGACTCTTTTGCACCAAATCCTAGGCTCCGGTGACTTGGGTCACTGAATCAGACCTCTATCCTCATCCCAGTCAACCCAGTCATACCCAGCTGTGCTGAGCCCTCTTCACCAAAACAACACTCAAATTCCATGAGATCAGCTGATCCCCCGGATGCTGACGAAGATCCGCGGATTCGGCCGACTTTGTGGCGCGGATTTGGGAGCCGATGGTGACAGCGGCCGAACTGGTGGGCCTTCAGGTGGTTTGGGGAAGACAGGGATGGAGAGAGAGCAGTCAGAGGTTGCTGAAATGTTCCAAATGTTTCCAATGTCCCATCTGATGTGTGAAACAGGACCACCACTCCAACTTGACAAGGATTGTGTGTGACAAGGGGTGGAAGCAAAGGGCCGCCTCCCTACCCGGCTGATGCTCCACATAACCCTATAGCATCCCTACCCCCTTAAAAATTAAATTGGAGCGGGGGGAGAGCCTTGAAATGTCATGTTCCGGTTTCTTTTTGTTTAAAGGATTGCAGCATGATGCATCTCGCATCAAGACCCATGAAATTAAACATAAAACACCGGCATTCATGGATGTGTATCTCGCAAAAGACTAAACAAATCAGGTTTTTATTCCTTTTTGGCTTCATCATCATCATCATCATCATCATCATCATCATCATCATCATCATCATGTTTTTTCGTTTTTTCTTTACACCTGCTTCCGCAGGTGTTGGGGGAGTCTAAAAATGAAGCTGGGATGCTTGGATTTGACCCCCCCCACCCCCCAAGATGGTAGGGATCCTATAGATGACCTCCTGCAGAATCTGCAGATTTATTTGTTCGTTGTTGCTTTGGTTCCGAAGCTGGCGCTTGACGTCCAAATCTTCCACGTCATGGTGACCGCGCATCTCGTCACATCTTTCGTTTCCAACGACTGCGGTCAACGATCTCACTCAGACACTAGTCGAAAACAAGAAAATTGTCGAGTCATCCAAAAGGTCATTGTCCACTTCCATGATGATCCCGGGGAGATCCAGGGAGTGTAACGGAATATATTCCGCCCACATTGACCCCCTTTCATCCACCCGTGGCGTGACCGGGATATTTGCCAGTCCCAGACAGGTTGTGTTTGGGTCATTGAAACTCATTTCCCCCACCTTTGCATGGCCGGATTCGCCAGGATAAGAAAGCCGACTCGCCGGGTTTTTTCAACCTCTCTCCGTTGGCAATTCAGTGATTTGGTAGCTTTCCCTACAAGTCCAGTCATGACTCATGTTACTCTATACCAGGTGGAGTAAATGAGGCATTGGAAGTTCTGGGTTTGGTACTTCCCGACATCTGGCAACACGAGCTCTCGCGTCAAGACGCCGAAATCCAGCGACGTTCGGACGCTGGAATAGCCTCGTGGGGGATTTGCCTTAGTGGCATCTTGTGGCCGTCGTTCCCCGAAGGTCACGGGAAGGTCCGAATCCGCATATGTCCGAATTCGTCTAGGAAGGATTGTTTTTGTTGGTCCTTTCGCCTTGGCACACTGGGATGAAGAGGGGCATTTTTTATGGTTCTTTTTGCATGGTGAAATTCACACCAAACTCCTTGGTCACTGGAATAAGACATCGCACGACGAGCCTGCGCCAGTCAGACTTTCGGTTTCACTCAGTCTTTCGCTCCGCGTCGCGCAGGTGGTGCGGCCAGGCCCAGGTTTCTCATCGTTGAAAACGAAGGAGAAGCCTAGGTCGCGCTGGTGGCACAGGGCGTTGCGCATCGACTTCTATGCATGTCGACTGATTTTGCTGGGACCTCAGGAGAAAGAATTACATCGTATTACATCAATATTCGGTGCACTACACACTGGGAAATCCACTTGTGGAAGACTTTCGGACATGGATGTTTGAAACCATCCCAATTTGTGAAGTAAATTATAGTTATAATTTTATCTTGATTGCTTGGGTATGCTTGGGTATGCTTGGGTCTTGCATCATGTTATTGTATACGTAGCTGGAGGCTCTCCGTCCAGATGTATATTTGACATCATTTAGACTTTAACACCTTTGATTATCGGATCACATGGGATCAAAAGGACACGATTTGCATGACATGTGTTCGTGCCTGGTAGCTTCACTATCATCCACTGAGTGACTGGTAGCACTTGTGCTTCTCGTCTTCGGTCGGCTGAGCTGGTGCCGGTGATCCGAACTGAGCTGTGCTCCCAATACAGTCAGACCTGATGACCTCCGTGCAGTCTGAAAAAGGGGCATCACTCCATCTACTTTTTTGGGTGTGCAGTCCAAAGGAGAACTCTTCCATCAGTTCTAAAAACTGCCTGAGGATTTGGCTTCTGCACTTCCTGGACCTTTGTACCGACATTTGGGTGGCTGTGGTGCTCATGGAGGAAGGACGAGAGACCTTGTGCCATGGAGGTGTTTGGAGGGAGGTGTTTGGACGGAAGGATTCCTCCAGATGTCAACATGGACACATATAGATAGTGGTGCTCAATCAATGCTATGAATCATTTCTACGAGCCTTGGCTGTCCTGAATCTGTCAACTGGTTGTTTCGAAGGGGCCATGTGGTGGTCGTGCCCAAGCTCGACCACCCCTTCGATCCCCCCGAGCCACCGCCCTTTTTGGGGTTCTACACGGGGCTACCTCTCACCTTCGTCACCCGTGAAGCCCAGTAAAGGAAGACGGAGGATTCCACCGCGTCATCCCGGAGGTCACATGCATGTCACGGCCAGACTTTTGGTGGGATGGTGGGTTTCATCAAGAAGTTGTCCTTTCTGTCTCAAAAAAAGACAAGAGCTTGGTGACTTGGTGGAGACTTTTCTTTAGGTGCAAGATCCAAGTAGTAGAAGCGGGGGGGAGCACTTTCACTTTCAATACTTTACAGTAAGCCTGCCTTTGGACACTGATTCAATGCAATGTGCTCACAGGTTCGCTTTGTCAGTGACCTTTCTGCTCATCCCGACCTTGCTTCGCTGGGCGATGACGAGCTTTACGATGAACCCTTGCACGCCAGCAGCTTGGCGCAGGAGGGCTTGGAAGATTCACTTGGGTTCTGCAGGACCTTCCGGTTGATCGGTGGGCAGGCGTCCTCCGGTAGTAGGTGTCAAAAGACACTGATCTTGGAGGCTGGCGGGTGATGGGTGCGGAGTGAAGCTTTGGACGGGAGGGAAGCACTCCTCCCAGCCTGTTCACGGTCAGGTGGTCGAGCCGGAGTAGATGGACATCGGAGTCAGAGTTATGGACACATGTATACTGTATATACTGCTGTAGGACACTCCTATACGTATACACTGCCTCAGTCACCCTGCAAGTTGGAACCAAAGAAGCAGTAGAAGAGTCAAAAGAGTTGGAGAGCTGGCTCCAAAACCTTGGGGCCCCAACGGTCGAATCTTTACAATCATACCAGCTCCCCTCCAAGATCTGTCTTCTTTTTCGCAGCCCAAAACCAGAGCCAGGAGACAAAAAAACAGAAACGCGGACAGAAAAAACAACGCCAACCAAAACGGCCGGCCTCCGACATCTACCGAGCCCAGCCGAGTGGGGCGTTTTCTCCCGCCCTGACGCCTCGCGTGTCGCGTCCTAAGGACTTCTTGGGGCTGCGCGAGGAGAATCCACCGGTGTGTCCCAAGCGACTCGGTGAATTCACCGGTGTTTGGTGCGGGGCAGTTGCCTGCAGTTGTTTCATCAGGTCATTAAACCCCCAGAAGAGGTACATCCCGGGCTCCGGGGTTGGTTGGGGACCAAGCTTTTTCCTCCCTACAAGTAGCTAGCTACTCCCACCCGTCACCTCAGAAGTTTGTGGACGATTGCCAATGTCAATGTCTTTAATGTTCACATGCTCGAAGGTCCTCCTTCAAGTGATGGACGTGTGCAAGATGACCCGCAAGTTCACGATGAAAGGACATGAAAGGACAACTTATATATATATATATAGGTGTGATGATCGCAGCCGCCACTGTTCAACTGAGGAGTTGAGGGGGTCATGTCACGAAATACCACGTTGGATCTGTTTTTGGAGGTAGATTGAAGGATTATGGTGGAAGGTGGGTTGATTTTTGCACCTTGTTAACGAATGTCAACGATGATTCCACCATGGAACATGTATGAAACATGTAGCACCTTATAGAGATCCAGGCGACCATGTTTCATACGCAACGGAAGAACACCGGGTCCCGGAACCGTCTCGGACCGATCGCCCGGTTTCGCCTCACCGGGCTGACCAACGTCCCGCACCTCGCAGCGAGGCTGGCCTATGTGCCCATTCTGGGCGAGCTTGTGACCTGACGAGATCGGCCCCCCCGGGATTCGGCCCTGTCATCGGTCACATCGTTTTGTGGGTCATCGTCTGGGGTCATCGTCTGGCGCAGCTTGGCAGGGGGCCCGCAGCTTTTGGGCAAAGCCGAAGATGTTTCTGACTCAATTTGAAAACTCAATACTCAATCCTATATAGATTGATGTACTGTAGATTGTTTGTGCTGCATGTTTGTGCCTAACGATTGTTTTGGCCTAGATCAGATGGCCGCTTTGTAGACTTGCTTTCGTCGAGCGAACACCGCGCTGGTCTCGGTGGATGCGGGTTGTACCGATCAAAGCTTATGAGGATGAAGCACGCCCATGAGTTTGGGCACTTGAGAAGACCACGGCCGGGGGTGTTGGAAAAAAGGGCTTTTGGCGGGTGTTTGGCAGGCAGGCCAACGGCACCTGAATCCTGCAAATCATGCCTGAACAGTATATGTATTTACAGTAGGTTATGGGTCTAAGCGATTCCTATCGATTCCTGTGATGCTGTCAGTGGACCTAGCTGCGCAAAAGCGCTTGGAGGCCAGAGATTCTGAAAACTCCCGGTTCACCTAACTGGTGCCACCGGCACACGCCGCCCAGGTGGTGGTGGTGAACGCCATCAAGACCAATTGGAAGTTTCAGGGTCGAACTCGCCGCTCCAAGATGGAGGAGCAGCGGATCAAACCGATGGAAACAGCCAAAAGTGAAGCCGGGATATTGATGGAACAGAAGGGGGTCTCGACTCCTGACCGCCTGGCCCACCATTGATTTCATGGTTGGAATTCCGAACAACCATTGTTTTACAACCAAAACCAAGGTCCTCCAAACTCTTTGTGACTGGTCCTACTAGCTGATGTCGGAGTCCAGCAGGGTGAATGTTCGACGGAGAGCGGCTGAATCCTTAAAGGAGGGTTGGAAAGATGGGACACATTTCAGGCTTTGCTGTGTTTCAACATGCTTAACACACACTTAAATGAGGTCGTGATCCCAACTGATGCTGGCCTTTTTGCCACCATCTCACCGGTACTTACGGTACCTCCAACCATCCAAACGTAGATCGCGGATGGCGGAGGGCGTCGAGTCGAGTTTCGAAGGAGGCACAAGACGTCTCCGGTGCCGCTTGGCGGTCATGGCACCAGGATTCCTTGGTTGACCACTGAACATGAATGTTCCATGATCAAAAATGATCAAAAATGCAGAATAATACTGGCCTAGGTGGAGGTCCCACCTACCGATTTGGGGTATGGGGTTTCACATGGTTTCACCATTTTTTCACCCACAGCACTTCGGTCGACTCACTCGGTCACCAAATAGCCGGTCTTTAGGGGGTTCAATGGGGGCCATAAGCATTCTCAAACCACGTTTTTTCTAAACCACGTTTTGGGGATTGTGCCGACTTCGTTGAAAACACTGTGGTCACTATAAAAGAGAACTCCTTCATCGTTGGCCCCCCTTTTGAGGTTTGACCGCCTGCGTACTGCTTCCCCAGGTCATCCAGAATGATCAAGCCACTAGGCCCTTGCTTTCCAAGACCATTTAACAAATGATTGACCTGGTTTTGTGGTCAAACACCCCAGTAGCAGGCCAACACATAGTAAAACAAACAATATGGCATGCACATCATCTACGGCCCATACGGCTGTATGTTATTTTGCGGAGACCACTCTGCCGGGTCCGGACTTCGACGGCAGACCGAGGCGCTGGTGATCTTGCGGATGGTGGAGGGGGCCTTCGAAGCGATGCCACAGGTGCGGTCGGCTTGGGTCGGGTTGGTCGGGTGGGTCGATCGACCACCCCAGACGCGGAGCCCGTTTGGCTCGCGAAGCCGGACTGGAGAGGATCCGGGGTTTGCTTCACCAATGCCGATCGGTTTTGAGGGAAACCGTTGGGCTGTTTATGGCTGTTTCACAGATCGACCCGAGGATGATGTTCCAGCATCCCAGCATCCCGTGGTTCGAGTCAAGTGGTTTTTGGCTGAAGCTGGTGACCCTTGGCATGGGGGATGATGGGGAATGATGGGGGAAGGGTGAATGTCAAGCAATCATTTAAGGGTGGAAAAGGTTCATCCTTTGCAGTGCTTGCAGCTCACCTGAAACTGCTTGGACGGCATGCAGTTCACTTCCTCCAAGACCAGTCTGGCCAGTACTGGTCTGATGCAGCATGGACATGGTCTGATGTCGTTACCGTTGTTATCCTTTTTTGCTGGGCTTATCTTGACTTACAAGTTGCAAGTCCGTGCAAGTGTTGTTCTTTGCTCATTATCTCAGATCAGCACGATCCTTTTGAGGGATGTGATTCTCAGTCTTCAACGATTTCAAGACGCCTGGGCCTGTTCCAACATGTGGTGCCAACAGGCTTCAACAGGCTTCGAGCCAAGTCGTGTCAACGCTCGGATGACTCGGACGAAGCGACTGAACTTGCTGATGAAGAGGATCTATATTTAATATACGATAGGAGCTCATCTCCCAATGAGATGGAAACAAGACTGGTGATGCGGTTTGTTTTGCCATTGCTCTGGCGCAACGGATGAGCTCTTGTCCTTGGTGCTGTTGTCCAAGGTGTTGCCAGCAGAGGGAGGCTGGACCTCTTACCTATGCCGAACAGTAGGGCCGTAGGGGCGTAGGTTGTCATGCCGCATGCAGCCTCAAGGCCTAACTTCAGCCCAACTTGAATCAGCGACAGATCCTTTTGGGTGACATCCTGTGAGGCCCCCTGTTACTGGGGCGCGGAAGTGCCGAGAAATGGGAAGGCCCCGCCTTTCGCGTCGGGGCGCCGCTTACGGCGTACACGCCGCTGAATGCGTGACAGGTCGTTGCATGCCATCTGAAAGTCAGTGACAGCTGACCACCTCGGCTGGACAACTAAGTGGATAGAATGAGAAAAACAACTTAGAATCAGAAAACCAAGCTGAACACCTGACAAACCGGATGAACCTGGATGACACGCCTGTGTGATTCTCAGCTTGGAGACCTCGTTACAGTTGCCCAAGCAGTTCCGCCTTCACGGACGGCTCCGCTGGAGACGGAACGAACTTGGCCACGAAGAGCCATGGTGAGGAAGCTACTATAGTCACAAAGTGCATCGCTACTATAAGTAACAAGGGCATTACTAGTAACAAGAAGCTACTAGCAACTATGGCATCACTTCCAGTAAGCTCTTACTACTAGTAACAAGAAGGCCTCTCTGGGCGGAAAGAAATACACATTGGCTCGTTCCGACGCGGCGCCGGTGGAATGACCGGTGTGGTGCCGGTGGAATGACAGTCGACTCTTGACTAGCAAGAGGCTCCTACCGTATGGGGTGCGCTTTACTAAAGCAGGCGGGCTTGCTTGTTGGCGAGTTCGTCCGGGCCGAGGATGGCCAGTAGAAGCCATTGGTTCCGGTGTCGCCAGACGGAACATGGCCGTGTTGTGGGATGCGCCTGAACTCAAACTCGGTATATTGACCGGTCTTTTTGAAGAATATCGTTTGACACTCAGCTTGTTTTTGAGGGGAAGCTGTCAATGAGAAACACTTGATGAGAAACACAAGCAAGCGTATATGAGGTAGAATGTCGGAGATGTGTGCAAGATGTTGTTTCCTAACTTGCTTTTTTTTGATATGTTCATTGGATGACGCTGACCCCATGACTTGGCGCTCTTAACGCCAGGCCATCATTCAGGGCATAGTGCTCTATGAGGAGCGGAGTGTGTTCTCGGGGCAGAAAGCAGCGGCCTTGACCAATCCATACCAATGCATGATGCAGGCGCAGTGAGGCACAGTGATGTTCTTACCAAGATCCTGATCTCAAGGCCTCAAAGGCCAGCTTCTTCAAGCAAATGGCTGTGTGATGACAGGGCAACGTCAACGGGCTGGTGGGTGGGCTATTTTGGTGAGGTGGTTCTGGGGCGCACGTGGCTCCGTGTCAGGATTTGGTGGCGGGACGCGTGTCTGGGCGTGGTCTTGTGCGGGTTCTTGGGCGGTCTTGTGGAAATTGTTGCAAAGACAAGCTGCCCGCAAAAGACATGCGAAATGATCAGCACGCCAATTGGACGCCAATTCACAGGGGAGACCCACTCTTGAAACACATTTATGTGTAGAACCTCTTTGTCCAAATCAGAGGCATTTGGAATCGGAGGCCCCTCAGTCTGAAAGTCCAGACGGCCATTCGCGCGGTTGTTCACTCAGACTGCAGATGTCCATGTTTTATGGTGTGGAGGGGGCCGCTGGCGGGTAGCTTGACCTTAGTTTGGCTCAGGGTGAATTGTATGTCGATTTCCCTGTGAGTGAATCGCCTTGGGAAGATGTGTTTGGTTCCTGGCTGAACAGCCAGTCCAAGTTAGAAGGGGGAGAAGTGCCCCCCGAGAAGTGCCGGTCAGAGGCTAAGTGGGGCGCCTTGGGGTCCATCGGTTTAACTCTCATCCTGGCAAAGATTGTAGTGAATCAATCATTATATAATCTAGAACATGTGCAATCCTAATCTGTGGGTCTATTGATTGAACGTCATGCAATATTGCCAGTACGGTGAGTCTTTCACTGGTAGGATGGCGCCATGACGGCACGTAGAGGTCTTTTTGAATGTGGACATCCAGCCTGAGTTGCCCCAAGATCCCCTGCGTTTCAGGTATGACCTGGATGTCCAAGATCCCCTGTGGACGTGAGGCTGGTATGCTAAAGAAAAAGCAGTGAGCAGGTACTGGTATGACCTGGTTTGGCTTTGGTGGCTAAATGCTCATCGTGGCCCAGCCGAGGTTCGCTTCATCCAATGGCAATCCTTCTTCGTGTCCTTCCTCGCTTTGGGCACCAGCCTCTCTTCGGTAGCCCTATACCACCAAAGCACTGCTTCCGAGGACACCAGTCGTGGCTGCTGTGATCAGAAGCGCTGGATGCGCCAACGTGTTGTATGTGTTGTTAGAAGTTGAGGGGCAGAGGGGGGATAAGATTCTCCGGCGTGTTGTTGCCACCTTTTGAGCGGCATGATCGTTGGATCCATGCCAACCAGATCCATGCCAAGCATCTCCATTCCTTGTCAAGGTTCCATGATGTTGCCATGGACTTAGCGGTATTTCTATGGATCCTCGCTGGTTCCAAGCTCCGTTCCGTGTGGTTTTGGTGAGGCACGTCGACCAAGGAGTCGGAAGCTTCCGTAGCTTCCGTTGGGGTCGCCAGACGGCTCCGAAATCCGAAATTCGATGGGGGTGGTTCTGAATGAAGAGATGACCCTCACTCTTGGGTAGGCGCTGGATCGCTACAGCTTCCGCAGGCTCCCCCTGCTGTGTAGTTCTTTGAGCATGTGAGGAGCGTCGGGAGCGTGACAGAAGGGATGCCAAGCAGGAGTCTCACTGGTACTTGTTGAAAGGTGCCTTGGACGTCCTGGTGCTTTGAATGATTTGATTTGGCCGTATAGTCAAAACTTAAGACCCTCCCCAGCAGCCTGTTTCGATGGGCGAAGGCCCTTGTGCTCCCGCACCTTCTCCTTTATGGATTGTTCACCTTTCAGCGCCTCCAAAACGTGGCTCCGCTTCAAGCATTGTGGCCCCTCACACCATCAGCCCCATTGCAAGTCATACCGGTTTCATCCAGTTTCCATTGACACAGCGCACCAACCCCCCCAAAAGGGATGGTTTCAGTGAGGATTTTACAACAATCCAGTATAAGAAAGTGTAAGTTAAACCTAGTTTTTTTCTTTGCCAACTGGCTCACACAGCCAGTTGACTCGGACAGGGCCAAACAGTGTGACCCCCGGAGCAAGAAGCAACTCGGTTCTACAAATTCTGAAATACAGAGCGGGCACCGATTCTATCGAATTTGGAACCCCTAAGCTGGAGGGATCAATTACTGAACAACAACAACAACAACAACAACACAACACAACACAACACAACACAACACAACACAACACAACACAACACAACACACACAACAATACACAACACAACAATACACAACACAACACAACACAACACAACACAACAACATATCAACAGCAGCAGCAGCACCATTAACAACAGCAGCAGCAGCAGCAGCGACAGCAACAGCAACAGGACAGGCTCCTACAAATTCACGTACCTTTTTAGGCTGGTCAATGAAATAGTCTCCCTGCTCACCGTACCTCAGAGGGTGTCAGTGGGCCCCCATACGGGGTATCAAATGCCTTGCCACGCTCTAAGAAGGTCTGGGGAAAAGGATGGAAAAGGGCATTGTTCGTCGTCGTCGTCCGATGCTCAGGTCTCTCTTTGGCCTTGTTCCTCGCAGCGGCCTCCCGGCAGCTCCCGGCGTCGTTGGTGTTCGGGTGACAGACGAGTGACATCATGTCACTGCCTTTTTATTCTTGTTTGGCTGAATGTTGGCAGAAACGCGGCTGCTCTAGTCCGCTTGTCGCATCATGCCAGAACTCGAGTTTGACAGGCCTAAGCTAAAAACCCAGTTCGCCTACATTCAAAGTTGAAAGTTTGTGTGCCTTTGGAAATGTGAACCACGTGCTTTCAAATTGCATTGAATGGTTGTACAGTTCATTGTGCAGAGGATATCAGAGGCAAATCAAGCATCTTCAGACCTTTGCTACGGTTCTTATGCCTCTAAGTTGACCGAGTTGGGTTGAATCCAGCCCATCGAGAGCGGTCGGGTTACCGTATTGGTTGCGGTCGGGTTTCACGTCGCAGCTGATCTGACGCCTTGGGACGCACGGGCGATCCGGCTTCTTCGGAGAGAATCCACCGGCGTTCTTCGGAGGTTCCACCGGCGACCATTGTCCTGTTTCACTCCTGTTTCCCTCCACGAGAACACCCTATAGTCTGAACTCCAAGTGTGGTTGGATCGATGGGCGTGTCGCGATGCTTGGCGTGTTCACCCGATCCCTGGATTTCCCTGGCCGCTTGGGCGTCTCGAGACCCACCCGTCGGATGTGGAACTCGTCGCGTGGTCTCAGGACAGCTTTCTTCGCATGAACGCGATTGCAACGGTGCTGTACAGTGAGAACTTGGCCCTGTGGTTTCCCATCTACCTCGCGGTGGTCTATGCTGGTTTGCCATTCTTACTAGCCACTTGGGTCTTGATCACACGAAAAGGCTGAATGAACAAAGCATAACATTATTTTTGTCACACTGGGTGTTGGGAAGGTGCGTCAAAACTTTGAAACCATTGGCATTCGGGTGATAAAGCGGCCTACAATCGTGTGGCAAGAACCACCCTCATCACTATGAGGAACCTTCACTGAATTTCGCAATATAGAATTAAGATAGTATCAAGTGTTGTGTTTGTGGTTTGATTTGCTTGTTTCCTTTGCAATCAAACCTCATTTGTGTTGGGACACACATGTCCATCACAGCGCAGATGCTTCCTGCTCATCAAGTTTGTTTGGCCGTGGTTGTGCCTCAAGAAGGGAATGAACATCCATGATGGTAGCAGAAGCTGTTCTAGATCATATAAAAGCTTTACCTGGCGAATACCTAGGGGTACGCGATTTGGAGCCAGAGCAAAGTCTAAATTTAAATGCCAGATGCATGATGATGTGAGTGTTGTGTTCTCGAAAGGGTAGGTGACAAGTTTTTAGCAAAAGAGAGCTCAAGCCAGGTTGCCTTGATCGCACGGGCTCAAAGGTCAACCTCATGTGCACTAGTGGTGCAATACCTTTTGCAAGAAGAGGTTGTCTTAGGAAGTGCAGGACGTGCCAGGGAGCCAACAAAAATTGATAAAAAATTGCCTTTTGGAGCATAGTTCCAAGATTGGAACATCATGTTTATCGAGAGGATAGAGTGAAGTCTCCCCGCCGTGGGAGACTTCAGTATCGATTCCATAGTGAGGTTTGTTCTGTGCTTGAGCACCCGGAGCCCAGCCTTAAGCGTTTGGTCCCCCACGGTTTCTTTGACCCGCGCGTGTCCAAGCGGAGCCCCAGGTCACGGGTACTCTCATCGCGGCAATTTGCTGCAGCAAGAAGGACGAAGGCCGTCTCACATGTTGCGGACACCTCTCCGTTTTTGCGACACTGGGCGGTGAATTTCAGCCGACACCCTCAACTCTCCTCGACCGTGGTTTCGCTGAAGGCTGAAGCGGGTTGGATTGGAAACACCTCGCCGGCCGTGAGTTGGGCAGTGGAGGTATGTATTAGATTGCACTACTCTATAGATCCACATAGCCTTTTCGAAGGGATTAGAGACTCTTTCCTCGACTCTTTCGAAGGGATGGCCCCAGGACGGTCCCATCATGACCGGACCCGAGACCGGGCCCTGCCGCGTCAGACCGGCCTCGTCCCCATGTCGGTTCAACAGAGGCTTCAGCGAAGGAACGTGGGATGACGTGGGCAAAGTGTTGGTGTCACCTGAATGGTTGATGTTCACTAATTAGCAAAGTTAACCTTTCTTGGTAGGTGTCCTCTAGTGTTGTCCTATGGGGATCACTTGGATGCCTCAACCTGCACAAACATTGCATAGCATAGCCCCCTCACATAGCCCCCTCGGCCACAAACTATGTAACTATTGATTGCGGCTCATACTCGACACCTAGAAAACGTGCATCCCTTCGTTCTTGAACCAGTTATTCCAAGGCTACGTGTTGGTTTGCAGTGTGCCGCTGTATACCAATTCTCACAACACTATAAACACAGCGAAACAAGGAACCTTTGCAGCCCACTGACTGAACAAGGACACTAAGCACAAGCGACAGATGCTATTCAGTATTTAGATTAAGATCCAATCCAATTCTGATCACACTTCAACAACCCACGTGTGAGGTGCTGAGAAAGACCCACGCAGAAATAAAAACCACGGGTTTGTTGCGCGACATGGTAAAACGATGATGAGTGGTGGAATTCAGTCCCATCCAGAAGCCAAAGCCCTTTGTCCTTCGTTTTCAGAAGATGGCTTTAAAATCCTGCGACACTCCGGCCAAGCAAAGTACTGCAACCCAGAGAAGGGATGACAAAGCCAGTGACTCAGAGTACGGCCTCTGAGGATTATGTACACTGGGACGCTGATCATGTGCGGCTTCGCGTTTTTGATCCCCTTGGACTTGGTGACGCTTGGTCGGCCGTCCGTTTGGTGGCGTCCGGTTGGTCTCATCCTGGGGAGCGGTTCTGTGCTTCGTGGTGTTCCGTTTTGGCAAACGAGCTGGAAAATACCTTGGGAGTGGACTTCCCTTTTGTGCTACCCTTTGACTCGCGCCTCGTATGGAAGTGGAAGAGATGACACGCAATGGAAGACTCATTTCCTCTACAGGCAGGATGGTTTCCACTTCCATGTTAGTAAGTCAGAGTGTTACTTCTTGACCAAGACCGTCCTTGATCTTCTGTTGTTCCTCAAAAACGAGTCCAGGCCCGTCATGGATCACCACAATTGATAGCAGATCCACCCACTGAGTATTTCAGACACTCTCACTGAGTGTTCAGTACAGACTTTTCAGTATCGAGAAGCAGATCCACCAGATCCCGGGCCGGGATCGTCCCCCCCGAGACATTGTCACTAGCTCATCTCTGATCGATGGAGCATCGTGGGTCGGTGAGTCATCGGGGGTGGAGGTGTGTTTGGAGTGTTGTTTAAAGCAATGTTTGCCCCGGGATGCACTGAGTGGATGGTGTTATACATGATTTTCGATTGATAGAAGCACTCTTTGAACCCCCATCCATTGAGTGGTAAATCAGAAGCGGGGCACCCTGATCAGAACTGATGAATCACATACATACAGCTCGAAAGGGAACTATACCCATGGGTCTATTGATGTCTATGGTCTTCTTGTCTATAGATCATTATCGATCTTTGTTTTCGCTCGTTTGTTCCGCCAGCTTCTCATTCTGCTTGTTCTCGAATTCAGGATGTGTAGCACGAGCGTCCCACCATTCTCGCTGCTTCGCTTGCTGGAGCACTTGGCCATGAGCATCTTAAGCCTTTACGTCTCGGCGCCATTAACCTGGGCAACTCGCTGGGAGCCGTGGGAGCTTCGAACGACCGCCCCATGAAACCGGTGCACCGGGTGAACGGTCGCACCGCTCAGCTAGCATTCTGGTTGACTGAACAAGGGCACCGATTCCTCGAACTGAGCGGGGTGTCAACCTACCATTCGTTGGGCTCACACTGGAGCAATCCAGCGAGCTAAGCAAAGCGAAGCGAAGCTGGACCCGTCGAGCTCCGCGGTGCGCGCAGTGGTTCCGAGAAGGGTCTAGTTGAATATGTTGGTCCGAGTGCCATAGGATGACCAGCAACAGTTGGTAAAAGTTATATAAGATGGTTTTATATAACCATTTTTAAACCAAAAAACATCATAGATCACTATGTTGGTCGACAGGCCATTTGTTGCTGGTAATGGGAGAGAACCCAAGAGTGCCACATGAAGACAGATTAGCTGAAGTGGGGTGCCCATTCAGATGCACTGAAAGGCTCCTTTGGGTGGCCCCATCCCTTCAAAGGGCACAGTCACTTTGCCCTGCGCGAATCAGGTACCTTTCGCGGTGTGCATAGCTGCTTGGCATTCCGTGCTCCACATGTGTGAAGCGAAAAAACACCAGTTCTTCCTAAGGAAGAGTCCCGGCAGTTCCAAGCTGGTGTATCTCTTTAGCGAGGGTCCGTCCGGATTCCGGTCCAGTTTTTGAGGCAACTAGATTCATTTGAACCCCTGCAAGAGACAATTCAACTTGAAACCCCTGGTTGTTGGATAATTGTCCATCAAGATAGAGTATAGATGAGTATAGATAGTATATTTTCCACATTGGCCAGAGAAAGCCAGAGTTGGTTTGGAAGGCCTTGGACGCTGGTCTCCACGCGTTTGGGCCGAGGTCTCCTTGCTTTCCATGGTGCCTGCACGGCTGATGTTGGGCCTTCCATGCTCCCCGAAAGCAATATGAGTGTTTGTTTATCAGTTTGTATGGATTTATGGATCCGGTGACTTCCAGCAGAGGTGCTTGCAGCCGTGGATGATTTACCATGTACAATGTCTAGTTTGATCGAAAGCTCCGCACTGGAACCTCCTCAAATCATTTGACAGACCAGGTGTACCAATTTATAGGTACCTATAATAATAGTATCTATATGAGTACTACGTGTACTGTAACTTATAAGATCTTATAAGAGATATTGTATGCTGTATATGGGACTTATATGTATATATATATTTCGATTCCATTTACGTCCCAGAACAGAAACCTGGATCTTGATCTAAATAGACTTGACAGAACAGTAGCAAGAGGCTACTAGTAGCTCCTGGCATTACTACTAGGAACGTTCCTGCTACTAGCAATACTACTATATAGTAACAAGGGCATTACTACCAGGAGCAAGCACGCTACTAGTCGCTCCTGGCATTATATACTAGCAGGAACATTATTGCTACTAGAAACAAGGGCATTACTACTAGTAACAAGAAGCTACTAGTATCAAGGGCATTTCTACTAGGAGCAAGGGCGCTACTAGTAGCTCCTGGCATTACTAGTCTCAACATTCTTGCTACTAGTAACAAGGGCATTACTACTAGCAACAAGAAGCTACTAGTATCAAGGGCATTACTACTAGGAGCAAGGGCTCTACTAGTAGCTCCTGGCACTACTACTCTCAACATTATTGCTACTAGTAACAAGGGCAATACTACTAGTAACAAGAAGTTCCATTACTACTAGGATCAAGGGCGCTACTAGTAGCTCCTGGCACTACCACTCGGAACATTCTTGCTACTAGTAACAAGGGCATTACTACTAGGAGCAATGGCGCTACTAGTAGCTCCTGGCATCACTACTCGGAACATTCTTGCTACTAGTAACAAGGGCATTACTCGTAGGAGCAAGGACGCTACTAGTAGCGATGCACTTAGTCGCTCACGCAGGTGGGGAGGACCTCGTCCTGAAGAAGCTTCCTCGCACCTGCTTCTTCCGTGTGAAAGTTACCCCTATACATGAGGACGGGGACTGATGTCCTTCACCAGGACGTACCCAAACACTCAAGACTCAAGACGTATCCACATACTCCATGTACGGAAGATATGATAATATGAACATGAATCCTAGAATCCTAGACCTTTGAACCCATCCCCAATGTAAAATCATCAGCATAATGATTTGCCACTCCCATCGGTTGTTTCTTTTTGGGCTTTGCACATGCAGAATCCATGTCCATTGGAGTCCCAACAAGTCCACATGGACGGACTTTTTCGTAGGCCAGGTGGGACGGAGACGACCTTTGCCAGGAGCCAGAGGCATCAGTGCCGCTGGGTGATGAGTCTTGTCATGTGGCTTCAATCATTTGGGGTCTAGGACTTGGGTTGGCCAGCTGGCTGACATAAGCTTCTTAGACGATCAATCTGGATGGGAAAGAAATGCTACGTAGAAAATACAAATGCATTGATCCACCCAAGACGCTATTTTTTGGATGGCACTATCGTGTTTAGACACAGGACGTTTAAAAAGAACAACCGATCCCAACGGTCCAGCCACTCCGACCTTCCAAATCAGGGCCTCCCTGCAATCAGACTACCGTAGTCCTGCAATCCCCCGTGTCTTGCGATGTTCGTCAACTCCAGTGTCCTGCCGCGAGTCCCGGCGCATGGGTTCGCGTGCGTCGCGTGCCCCGAAGGGTAAGGGTGGACTGGTCACCATGACACGATTCGGACGATTCGGACGGCGCCCTGGGGCCGCTGGGGATCCCTGGTGTTTGGAGACCAGACGCAATCTGTTGGACCTGTGGGATGCAGAACAGTCGCCCTTTAGGGGGTTCGAGGTTTGGAGAAATATCTTTGTTTTTTCCCCATGATATCCCCAAACACTCCCATATCATGGCCTACATCGTGACCCCTGCAGCTCTGAACAAAATATTTATAATATAATATTGAATATTGCCAGTCCTACCGGTCGTGTTTGAAAATTCGATTCCTCCAATCTCACACTCTTCATGGAACTGGAATAACTTGTCGTGGACGGGTCATGTCCATGAGGTATACATTGTATGCAACTCTTTCAGTCCCTTGGATGGTCTGGGAGGTCTGAATGGTCGAAGGCCCGAAGGCGGCTCCGTTCGGCTCGAAAGATGAGGTTGGATCAAGAAGGTCACCGAGTGGCTGGGCTTGTTGGGTGGTGGTGGAAGGGATTCCTGAAGTTCCCATGGTTGGGTAGGGGGACTGAGACCTACCCGACACGGCCAGTCCTAGGGATCCGTATGTCAGTACCTTCTCAGGTGCTTGGAGACACTGGTAGATGTAGGTGCCATTGTCGGGTCCAGTCGTACCGAACCTGAGAAGGTCATTGGATCCCTAAGGATACTGACACCCTTCCAGCTTTGAAACTGTTTGGGATCAATGCGTCCTACTCACCCGTCCGTGATCCGTCGGTCAAAACGATCGGTAGGTCTAATTTAAGCATATATTTAATCAAGTCAAATCATACCAGAACCCATTGCTTTTTGAGGTAACCAATGGACGTCTCTTGGGCCTTCATTTTTCACACTCTTGGACGCTCCTGGTCAGCCTCGCTCAGACAAGCGTTTCTGACCACCTCAGATTACAGTGGCCCCACAGCTGATGTGTATACAGTATTGCCTGATCGGTGTTTTGTTGAACTTCAAACCAGCCCTGCTGACCATGTCCCAGCGCCCGGAGAAACACAACGGGTGACATGAGGGTTTTTGGCCCCTGGAAAGATGTCGGCACTCCATTGCGAACTGAGGGACCAAGGGCTAATTGCCATCATACAGATGGACATGGACCTTGACGTCAGACCAGACACGGCTCCGGCGGAGCAGCGAACGTCCGACGTCCGAGGCTCAGCTACCGGGGCTTCACCATTGGGCATCTCTTGGACTTTTGCCAGGTGTTAGGCCGACGTGCCGAAACCGACCCGCACGGACAGAACTGGACGCTCTGCGGGACAGAACTGGGGGGAGTGTCAGCCCGGCATGGACCAAAGGAGACAAAGGCCATTGATTGATTTAGATGTCATCTGGAGTGGTCCTTTTTGGGAAACCGGGCGTTAAGCCCCGAATGGACGGGCAGTTTGAGCGATGGGTATCAGGAGGGTCTTAAGTCTGATCACCTACCTCGCAAGGCAGCAGCTCGGTGATGCCCCACTTCGATGCAAGCCAGATGCTTGGTTGAGCCACGTTTTGAGGGTGACTCCCCCATTTGATGGGTGTGTATTGAAAGACCAAGGTTTCCCTTCAACAACAATTGGTTTGATTGGTTAGTGAGAGATTCAAGATGACATGTCATGACATACCCCACATGAGCTGTTTGCCTCCTTCGTTTGCACCATGACACCCTAACCGCAGGGTGGGTCCGAGCCTTTCAGAAAAGGGGCGCCTTTCGCACACGTGTCGTGCATGGTCATTCGCCACCGGTCGGCGACAATCGTGAAGTGTACCATCGAGTTTGGTTGTTGAGCATTGTGCATTGTTCACATTGGTTGAGTGTTGGGGTGCTACCTCCCGCATGGTAGCGGAGCCCCTGGGGCTCCAGGGGCTGGATGACTACGACGGCTGCAGGTGTGCCGTGCTGGGACGGCAATGCTTCGACATTTGATACATTTGTTGTTGCATGCAAGTGGTTTCAAAAGTCATTGAAGCCTTCAGAGCGATCCCAAGCAGCACCGAAGATCTGGCAGTCATTGTCGGGCGCTGCTCGCAGCGTCGTCAAGCACCTCGACCCCGATGACTACACAGATGACGACGGAATGACCCGTCTTCTGAATGTGTTGAGAGCGAGCCCACTCCAGCAACTTCCAATTCCCGACAGCTTTGGCAAACTGGAGCGTTGGCACCATCTCCGCAAAGGTCCCAACGAAACAATGGCTCAGCTCATTGTCAAGGAAGAAGAGATGTTCCAAGACCTTCAACAAAGCCTGGTGAGAGCAAGGGCTGACCGAGCCCTCAGCCATGTCGTGACACCTGGACCTGCCAGGATGGATCCTCCATCCACTCCGTCCCAATCTCCCGTCGCTGGAGCTCAGAGGCGCGCGTCCGAACAGCGTGAGTTTCCACCGGATACGGTACCGACCGTTACATTGGGCAGTGGTGGTGGTTCTGGGTCGAACACGTTGGCCAATTTTTTTGAGGACGAACTACGTGGATACAGGTTGATGAAGGCTGCAAAACTCAGTCAAAGCGAGCGGCAAGCAGTTTTGGTTCAGACACAAAACAGCACCCACTACTATGCCATCCGTCAAGCTCTGCGAACCCTGTACGCTGAGGAAAGTGAGCGATCTCAGCTTCATGATCGTGGCCGCAGTGCAAAGGCTTGGTGGGCTGATGGTGAGTGGGAGCCCGAGCAAGAGGAGTTGGAGCGGGATTGGAACGAATGGAGTCCCACTTCGTGGGATCAGTGGGAAGATGAGCCCAATAGCTTCTGGTATGATGGATGGGAAGAAGATGAATGGGGCTACGATGACTCGTGGTGGCCCAATGAAGAAGAGCTGAATCCCATCGAGGAGAGTGAGATCCCTGAGGAGCGTCAATACCAAGAGGCCTTCGCCCTTGCAAATGAGGCAGCTCGGACTTTGGAGGAAGCCCGCAATGCAGTGAAGCAAGTTCGCGCTGCCCGTGGCTACTACTCGCCATCAGTGGCAACATAGGCAAAAGCAAGTCGTCTTCTGGACCTGGCTCAGGCAAAGGGAAGACATCGAGCAACAAAGGATCCTTCGGACCATGTTTTCTATGCGGTCGCCCTGGACATAGCTATCGCCAATGCCCTGACCGATTCTCCAAAGGAGGAAAAGGATTCGGCAAAGGCAAGAGCAAGTCTGGCAAAGGTGGAAAATCACCGAAAGGCAAGGGTGGCAAAGCATTTTTTCACGGAGCTCTATGTGAATGTTCGCTGGGACGAATTTCCCCAACGGTCTCGAAGCTCAACAAGAGCAGTTATCGACACTGGAGCGACGGAAAACGCTGTGGGCATTGCGTGTTTGGAAGAGATGGTGAGCAGTGGGCATTTTGTTCACGAGGTTTCCCATGACAGCCTCCCAGTGACTGGGTCCCAGTGTTCAGATTTGGCAATGGACACAGGAGCAGAGCATTGAGCAATGTTGTACTGCACAATACATCGCTGGGTGCTCTCAATTTTTACGTGCTAGGAGATTTGGGGGCAACAACGCCGCCACTGTTGGGAGCCAAGACATTGCGAGCAAAGAGAGCATTGCTGTCGTATTCGAATGGGTTGTTTTTGTTTGCCCCGGAACCATCTGAACCCGGGACAACTGGCAGTGGAAACATTGTTAATGCAGTGCAAATGGAAGCTCTGAGTTCTGGTCACCTCACTATTGATTTGGCATCCCCACCATTTCAAGTTGAATCGGAGATTGATTTGAATGTTTTTTGGAAGTTGAGCGAGCAGTTGCCTCCCGTGAGTTCGACCACCGCAGTTCAGAGTTTGTTCGTGATGCACTCACCTCTCAAGCTCTCCGATCGTTTGGAGAACTTGGCTCAAAGGCTGTCAGCAACTCGTGAACGGCATGGCCTCGAGCAAGGCCGCAGCAGCGATCGACGACCCAAGACAGAGCGGCTTTCCATGCTACGGCCAGCGCAAGGGCAAGACGAGGCAGAACCAATATGCCACCTGGGTGGTATGCCTCAAGTGCGGGATTCGCCTGGAGTACCAGACGAAGAAAGCCGGGCACGGTGGCACGAGGCAGATGGGTCCAGACCCGCAGATCATTCGGCTGGCACTGGCCGACATCGAGAAGAGCATGGAAGCCAGCGAGGTCACGATGGACGTGGTGAATGGCAAGATGATGGAGATCAAAGGCAAGATGCTTCAGATGGGCATTCCAACACCCCTCCAGCTGAACATGACCTTGGACGAGTACCACCAGAGGCTGGAGAAGTTTGGCCGAATGGATGGAGTGCCAATGACTCCATCGACCAAGGCTCCATCAAGTGCTGCCCGATCGAGCCCGAGCGAGGTTCCATCAAGTCCAGAACCCAAGAAGGCCAGCCAGAAGAAGGGCGTTCCGCCCGAAGGCCCGTTGGAGAAGGAGATCAAGGAGATGGCAATCAAGGGCTACCTGGCCGCCAAGAAGGAAAAGGAGCTGGATGTCACGAAGGGCACGCCACAGATGATTCCGGACGGCCCGGAAGTGGTGATGATCCACTCGGAGGAGGAAGAGTGGGAAGCCCCGACGGAGAAGGGCAAGGCATCTGGCGATCCCTGAAGGGCCTGCGAGAAAGGCTGACCAGGCTGCAGAGTCGTGGCCTTGGAGCTGGTATGGGCTCTGAAAGCGGTTCAGCAGCAGCGGAAGGCAGCACGGCAAAGACCTCACTTGGTCTCAATCCACAGCAGGATGCAAGCATCCACACGAATAGCACCACGTGCCACCACGGCAACACGGCATGCACCACGTGCTCAACGAGCAACACGACACACACCACGAACCTGATGGCTGAACCCAGCCATATGACTCTCCGGGACACGCACGGGCATCCCACGGAGAGTTGGAGCACAAGCCCAACGGCATGGGCCTACAACAAGAGCCAGACAAGCGGCAAGAACATAGTGCCTCCATCTCTGGCCAAGAAGATGTCCATGAAGGCAGCCATCCTTGGGGCGATGATCATGGCCCCAATGCAGTCATTGCTCACCCAGATGGCTGGAACGGTGGACTTCATGGAAGTGGCGTGCTCAGCCACGAGTGCGCTCAGCACTGAGATGGAAGCAAATGGCTACTCAATCCAGAGAGTGAACTATCTGGAGGGCTTCGACCTTGACAAGAAGTCTGGCACCGAGAAGCTGACCACCAGCATGAAACAGCTGAAGCCCAAGATGACATGGGTGAGCCTCCCATGTACCAGGTTGTCATCCCTCACTCACCTCACTCCTCGCACTCCTGAGGAACAAGCAAACTTCGAGAAGCGACAGCAGCGTGATCTCAAGCGCGCTGATGAGGTGAGCCAAGCAATCTGCCAGACCTTGGATGACGAGAACGACTTCGCCTGGGAATGGCCAACCGGAGCAGCAAAGGGTTGGAGATCAAGGGCGATCAAACGCCTTGAAGACAAGATGAGAGCCATTGGAAGACCATTGTTCTGGTGCCGACTCCACGGCTGCGCATACGGCCTCACCTTCAAGGGCATTCCAGTGAAGAAGGGCTGGACAGTCATGACGTCCAATCGAGGCCTATGGTTGGCCCTTCAGAAGAAATGTCCAGGTCACCCTGAACACCTGGAGTGCCGTGGGCATGTCGCTCAGGCAAGCTCCTACTACCCCGCAGCCATGGTGAAAGCGGCTGTGAAGGCCATCATCGGCACATGGACGGCCTATGAAGATAAGGCCAATATCTCCCTTTCCAAGGACGTGCAAATCCATCTCCTGGGAGTTGATGAAGATGAATCCCAACAAAGCTGGGAAGGTCAAGCAAGACAAGATGAGCCTTCCATCATGGCCCTGACGAGACAGCGCTATCCCGAAGAAAGGCCCACAGGCAAAAGACTGGAGCAAATCAAGCAGACCATGCTCCGCATCCACCGAGCATCAGGTCATCCTTCCATGGCAAACTTGCAGCAGCTCCTACGGGCCCGCAACGCCCCTCCTTGGGCAGTGGCCTTAGCAGGTGAACTCCGGTGCAGTGAATGCATCGAAGCAAAGAAGCCCCGGCCAGCTCCGCCTGCAAGCACAGGCGAACTTCCAGCTCTATTCGAGCAAGTCGGGACGGACGTGTTTGAAGTGGAGTTCAATCACCATGAATCCCAAGAAGCCCAAAAGGCCAAATTCATTCTTTGGCGGGATAGAGCCAGCGGCCTGGCCCAAGTCGACCTGCTGAAGATCTATGGTGGGCAAGTTCGCAACTGGGAGCCCAAAGCAGCAGACGTCCTGAAGTCCTTTGGCAAATGGCTCCAACACAACCCAACGCCAAAGTGGATCATTTCAGATCCGGCGACGTACTACACGTCCTCTGAGGTGATCGACTTCATGTGCCGAAGCGGCATCGGGTTGATGAACACCCCTGCAGAAGCACACTGGCTGCTTGGAGCAGAAGAAGGCTGCATTGGCCTCCTGAAGGCCACATTGTCTCGCCTGAAGAAAGAGACACCAGCTCTCGACATAGAGGCCTTGATGGACCTTTCCGTCCATGCACACAACAAGACAACTGGCCCCAATGGATTCAGCCCATTCCAATGGACCAGGGGAGCTGATCCACCAGAAGAAGCTCTTCCAGTTGGCATGGACCCCAAGAAAGCCTTCGAAGGAATGCTCAAGCTGAAGGCACGAGCCAAAGCAGCATTCGAGCTCGAGTCCGCAAAGACCCGCATGAGCAAGCTTTCCAATGCCACCACTAGGCCTCCTGCAAAGTACCACCCCGGTGCATTGGTGATGGTTTGGCGGCAGAAGATGCGTCCCGGACGCGTGGGTGGCAACTGGATGGGTCCTTTGCGAGTGCTCATCCAAGAAGGCACAACAGTTTGGATGGCCACAGGATCCAACATCGTCAAGGCCAAGACAAACCAAGTTCGAGCGATCACCAAGAGGGAAGAACTGCAAGCTTCGCTCGAAGGGACAGCTATCCTTCGAATGCCAGTGACACTTGAGTCCCTTCTAAGAGATTTCACTGGCAAGCACTACACCAACATCTGCGGCGAAGCACCCTCAGAGCAGCAGCAGCAAACAGATGTTGCCGGAACCACGGTGATCCTCGAGCCAGCCAAGAACCAGCCAGACACATGGCGCATCGAGCCAGGCAAGTGGCTCATTCGTGTGCACAACGCACCGAGGCTGGCAATGTTTTCCCCAGCACGGGTGACATCATCACCCATCGATGAGGCTCAACTGACCGGCAAGAGGAAGACGCACATGAAGGCCCTCATCGAAGGATCCTCCCAAGTCCTGATTGAAGATGACTACAAAGAGTCAGAGGATCCCCACCGATTGCTCCAAGAACGGTGGACAGGGGAAACTTGGTTTGAGATTTCATCTGCTCAAGCAAGCAGTGGCCCGAAGAAGAGGGCACCAAAATTAAGTGCAAGCAAAGCCGTGAAGAAGAAGGCCAAGGCCACTCCTCTCGAGGGAGAGGACACGGCAGCTAATGAGACAACAGGATCGGGAGCAGTCATCCCCATGCCTGATGATAGCCTGCAAGAGGCTCTTCGTGAACGTGGTCCGGATGCAGTTGATGGCATCCCTGGCACTCCAGTAAGCGGACCTGCAGACCATTCAGGAAACCATTGTAAAGTCCAGAACTGCCAGCTCCCCGGAGGTCACGAAGGACCACACCAGGACCCAAACCAAAAGCGGTTTACATGGGACCCGTACAACGGACGGGTCGAGGAAGAGGCTTCTTCGTCAAGTTCGAGCTCCTCCTCGAGCTCATCCTCTTCAGAAGAAGAAATGGTCCCTGACCGTGAAATGAAAAGAAGAAAGAAGGACAAGGACAAGAACCAGGCTGAAGAAGAAGACCTAGCGGTCTATGCGCTTGAAATTGAGGTGACGCCCAAAGAAGCGCAATGGCTGGCCAATCATCCCAACAGGGCCACCGCCTGGATGTCCAAGAAGGTCCAAGAAAAGAGCAAAGAAAAGCTCTGGTCAAAGTTGACCATGGAAGAAAAGAAAGGATTCGATGAAGCGCAATGCAAAGAGCTCTCACAGGTTCTCCAGTCAAAGGCTCTTCGCTGCCTCACGGAGCAGGAACACCTGAGCCTGAATCCCGCATCAGTGATGAAGATGCGCTGGGTCTTGACGACCAAGTCAGACGGGTCTCCAAAGGCCCGGTTGGTGGTCCTAGGCTACCAGGCACCGAATTTGACCCAGGTGGAAGCGGCATCACCAACCATGTCGCGCCTCTCCAGGAACATGATCTTGGCGGCATGCGCCAACCTGGGACTCCGCATCCGCGGAGGAGATGCCACGTCGGCTTTCCTTCAGGCCGACCAGTGCATGGAGAGCCAACAGCTGACCATCTGGGCGCCAGCAGAGCTTGCAGTGCTTTTTGGAGCACCTCCTGAGAACCCAGTCATGCCCCTGAGAATCCGGCGAGCATTCTATGGACTTGTGCATGCACCCAGAGCATGGTTTGACCACCTCACCGGCACTCTCCGCCGAATTGGTTGGCGACAGGTGAAGAGCGACAAATGCCTCTTCGTCCTCACCGACGACTCGCCAGAGAAGAACGTGATCTCCATTGCAGGGATCCACGTGGATGATGTGCTCATCGGAGGAAAAGATGGCCATGAGAAGTTTGAACGATGCTTCAAAGAACTGGTAGAGGCCTACCGATGGGGCAAGTGGGAGCATGATGATTTCAAGTTCACCGGCTGCAGGATCAAGCAGTCGAAAGACTTCCAAATCCGGGTGGACCAACAGGAGTACACCGACAAATGGATTGAGGAGATCCACCTCGATGCAGCCTGGATGCAACAAAGGAAGTCAGCAGCCACGGCCAATGAAGTGTCCATGCTGAGAGGTGCAATTGGCACCATCGCCTGGCGAGCTTCCCAGACCTCGCCGCAGTACCTCGCTGACGCAGGACTTCTGCTTTCAGAACTGCCATGGGCCACAGTCGAGATGGTCCACAAGACCAACAAGCTCATCCGCGAGATGAAGCGTGAGGCAAGCCAGTCACTGGTCTTTCACCCCTGGCACGTTCCCTGGCAGCAAGTGGCAGTGCTAGCATGGGCCGATGCCGGCCAGAAGAATAGGCCCGACTCCTCAAGCACCATGGGGATAGTGGGCGGCCTTGCACCAGCTGGAATTCTCCAAGGTGAAGAACATGGTGTGTCGTTGATACACTGGCGTTCCAGCAAGACCCCAAGACAGGTCATGGGCTCCAACGGAGCCGAGGTGCAGTCAGTCACCGCGGCCGAAGACTTTGTGTTCCACACCAGAGCCATGTGGTGTGAAGTCCACGGCCAGACGTTTGAGAAAAAGGAGGACCTGTACCAGATGGTACGAGGAATGTCGCAAGGAGCGGTGATCATGGACACCCGAGGAATCTATGACGCTGCAACCCGGAATGTCTCGAGCCTCCACGGCCTTCGATCCTCCCGAGCTGGATATGAGCTGACGATCAGTGTCGATCAGGCACGCTCCATCGGAACCCAATTCCGTTGGGTCCACGGAGGTGTACAACTGGCTGACAGCCTAACGAAGTGGGCTAGCAGGAAGGTGTTGTTGACCTTTTTAGCCCACGGGCAGCGCTGGAAGCTTGTGCACGATCCAAGCTTTGAGTCGTGCAGGAAGGTGCGCAAGAAAGAGCTGGAGAAGCAGATTCGAGAGCAGGAAGAATCCTTTTTCACGGCAATCGCCATTTTGGCGGAACAAAGCCGATGGCCTTTTGAAAGCGGCCATGGAAGCAAACAACTCAGGAATGGGGGTGATGAGAGATTCAAGATGACATGTCATGACATACCCCACATGAGCTGTTTGCCTCCTTCGTTTGCACCATGACACCCTAACCGCAGGGTGGGTCCGAGCCTTTCAGAAAAGGGGCGCCTTTCGCACACGTGTCGTGCATGGTCATTCGCCACCGGTCGGCGACAATCGTGAAGTGTACCATCGAGTTTGGTTGTTGAGCATTGTGCATTGTTCACATTGGTTGAGTGTTGGGGTGCTACCTCCCGCAGTTAGGTTCAAGTATGTTTGAATAGATTTGTTCCTTTGCCCGGGGTCTTTTGGGAGGTCTCCCTACCGTCCAACGCCTCAATACCGCCAGAGCCACCCTAGGGCCTGGACGTATTAAAATACACACTCACATGGCTGTGGAGGTTCTGGCTATCCACTAGACTATCGATTTGACTTCTTTAATCGTGAATCAACACAATGTTCTCAGTCAGTGATGACCAGCTTGTCGGGATACAACGTGAAAGACCGCTGACTTGCTTGTTTTTGGAGGCTGTTCTCATGCATGTATGACCTGCTTTGAGCGTCCAAAATTTGGACATGCACTCCTCAGAACATCATCGCATCATGTATAGAGTATCAATTTTGGATGATGGCTCTATTAGTTGACCTAGACATGTTCAGTAGTTGGAAGATTTGTGGAGCACCTGTGGATGCGTGAATCAAGTGCCAATCATCGTACACCACCTTGGACCAATCAAAGACCCAAACGGGGGGGGTAGATCCATGTCCATCTGGCATGGATTCTCAGTCGTAACGCCAAAGGGGATCCACCTTCCTGGTCTAAACTCTTTATGAGTTCTTATCCCAGACACTTGCCTACATTGACCCTTTTCAACCCAATCTGTACGGTACAAATACCAGTGTCTTGTCAGACGTCTGTGAACACCGCGACCCACTTGCCAAAGCGTCGCTCCAAACCTCCAAACCACCGGTCTCCACGTCCCGTCGTCTCCCGTCGTCGTCCGTCGACCGTCCAACCGGACGCGGAACCGTCCGTCCGTCCGTCCGTCCGCGGAACGAGGCACAGCACCAACGACGTGGTGCGTCAGGCGATCATTCCATGGAGTCGCCTGGAGGGCAGCTGGAGCCAGATTCAGCAGGGACATGGTCTCCTCGCACGAGACGGCCGCGTCGCTTGGACATGCGGTCGGGTACGTCGTGTATACGTGAGAACGGAGGGAGGATGGAAGGATGGGCAGTCTGGAGTTGCAGTTCTGAAGTTTGGCAAGGTACGTGTACGTATGATGTGATCATGTCAAACCCTCGCAGTGAATGTCACTGGGCCATTTTTCGATGTTGATGCTTGTGGAAAGTCCAACTTTCAGAGTGGAAGATGGCTGGGGTATGCGCATCTTCCTGAAGGAAGCATGTTTTGAGCCGTTGTCGCCCATGTATCGCCAAGGCAATGGCCTCCTGCTTGGAGGGTGTGCCCAAACAGGTGCCTCCGCCTAAGAAACGTGGGGTACTAACATGCGACCTGATCGTGATCCGCAGGTGTTCTTTGATTGGCATGGATCACTGACTGGACCAGAAATGCTACCAGGGCCATCCTGTTTGGGTGTCCTGGCTGGACTACCCTGGACTACTTAGGGGTCTCCATTGGACGCCCATTGGATGGCCCAGCTGTGCAGCGTTGACGTAGTAGTCACTGTTGACTGTCCTGTGACCTGTGTATTTTCGTGCGGGCTTGAATAAACAAACCACATCATTCAATAATGTTACTTCAGCAAATGTGCAAAGCGACAAAAACAACTATAAACTATGTTGTTGGACAGCGTTCCTGCACCATCAAGGTCTCTCAATAGATCACTGTGGCCAACTTTGTTCCCAGCCACCTTAAATTCCTACCTCTTCCCCGCTCCCCAAAATAATGTGTATAGCATTGCACCAGCCATGTCAACTAGTATGGTTGTCCAGTGTTCAGTGATGCTACGAGAGCAACAGACTTGAGGCACCTGGCCCCTCCTGCGGCTAGAACAGGGTTCGCCTAATCATATCATCTACATGTGTGACAGGGGTGCGTTTCTTTGTTGGGTAGCTGGATGTACCTGGCTGGCGCTTGTAGTAGGGCACAAAGGGATGCATCAAGGCAATCGTTCATTCTTCCATCTTTTGCTTTTGCCCCCCCCAGGTATCCCCACCCAGTTTGCTCGGTCGAGCCATTGTATCATATTGTATCCATTCCATCCGAATCTGCGATTGCAGGCACAGGTGATGGTGACGCACAATTGGGACCGAAGTGTCTGTGTCGGTGTCGAGGCGTCAAGGTTTCTGTCGGTGATGGCGTCAGGATGGGTGAGTTGTTTGGCTGTCGTCGGCGGTTTGGCTGTCGACACGCGCATCCCCATCTGAAGTCGAACGGGCATAGCTGGGGAGCTGCTTCGCGCCTGGATTAGCATTGGTGGTTTGGTGCGTATTCTGATTGTCCTCATGCCAAGATCCACCTTTTGCGATGATGATTTGAATTCAATGTAGGACATAAACCAACCCTTATCAGCCTATCAGTGTGTGGGTTGTATGTTCTTGGTGTCATTCAATGTTGATCAATTGTGTATTAAATGTACATAAATGTACCAATCAATTTGCTTTCTGTAGTGCTGCCTGGCTGGATCGGACTCATATTTGTCGTTCCCATGTTCGCATGGACGTAGCACCAACATGCACCAACATGTTCTTAACCACAACGTGTTCGAAACTTCTGCTCTATCAGGTTCTTGCATGTTCTTGCAGCATTGTTCCAAATTGTCCATGTGTTTTGACGTTGTCTAAACTCAATTTCCTCAGATAGTTCTGGGCAAAACACATCATCGCATGGGTTCAAACAAACAAGTATATCCGAAAACAGCGGGGTACACTTCATCTCCCTACTCATTTCAAACCCTCTCGAATTCCGTGGCTAACATTCCACCCTCCAAAACTCCAAAGCAAATTTCTGAGGGTACCCTCCATGAATATCCCATGAATTAATGGGTGTGTAGCTCCAGCCGGGAGACCCTCCAACAGAACCCCTGAAAGAAGGACCATGGACCAAAACCAATTGCTTGGGGGGGGGTCTCCATATTTTAATCCACACCCATCTCCACAAAAACCTCAATGTTTTCTCCAAGTACTGCCCCTGCTCTCTTTCTGCGCGCCACCGTCGCGTTCGGGGTCGAAATGGCAGGACAACCTGTTCTCCCACCTCGTCGCCGCGACACTCGGTGGACGTGGAGGGGTGGACGCGGACAAGTGCATCGCTACTAGTAACAAGTGCCTTACTAGTAGTAACAAGAAGCAACAAAGACAACATGTTGCATAATGGTTGGAAAGTTGAGTGTGTTGCCGCCCAAACCTTGGATCTCAGGGGGTCAATTTGACACTTGAAGATTTAGGTTGACATCTATTGTACTTGCGGTCAATCTTTTTGGTTTTGGGGGGTCAACCAGGGTTTCGGGTTTTAAGCCATATACGACAAATATGTAAGCGGTGTTTTCTTGGTGAAGCAGTTGATTGGTCTCAAGCCATTGGTCATCATGTCAATGGAAGTGAGGGAGGGACAGGGAGGGTAAGTGTTCAAAGCGCTTCAGAGGCCATCGAAAAGCGCACTTAAATGCTGTTCACTGTAACAGCATATTCCTGTCGACACGTTCTCAGCCGACAGCATCCAGCCTTTACCAGTACCACAGACACCCAACACCAGGAGAAAAGTCCGTTTTGCTTTGTTAGACCTTGTTTTGCTTGGACTTGCCAATTCGACTTGCCAGTGGATGCTTCAGTTGATTTGTGTATATCTGTATGATGATGTTATTATTGTTTAAAGTCTACAAAGGTGTTTTCAAGACATTTCTCACCCTGCGCAACTAAATGCTCCATATTCTGTCTATATTATATATGTGTTTCACTGCTCGACTGACTTCCACCAAGGACGCTGGCCAGCATATTGGAGTTTTGCACCTTTGACCACATCTTGGCGCAGATGACCTCTCCGGATGGCCTCCAGGAGCCGATGCATCGATCCGACCTCGGCTTTTGTGATCCGAGAGCAGCACATACGACCATCAGCACATACTCCCACCCCGAAGTCCACAAAGCCACTTAGCTGTGGAATGTGGTCGAAAACTCTGTTCAAGGTGCTTCAGCTGGCAAGAACAAGAAGATAATTATGAGGAAGACAAAAGAGAAGAAGAACATGTCGGCCATGTGCCGCGTAGGAAAAACACAGAAACACACAGAGACCCCCATTGCCAATACAAGGGCTGGTGTTTGCTTGGGCTCCCTTGCAGTATATATATAATATATATACCTATACCCCCCCAATTGGCCCAACCAAATGATTACTAGTCGTACCAACGGCCAACGGTCTCGTTTGTTGGCGAGCTGAGACAGATGCTTTTGGTCAATCTCGCCAAAGCCTTCGGGGGGGGATGGCACTGCGCCACACCGCGCCACAGGAGCTGCGAAGGCGATGTGAAAAAGCAGGCCGATGGTGATGGGTAACAGGTGGCCTGAAGGCCATGGGGTGGCCGTTTAGGTCTTGTTTTGTGTTTTTGTGTTTTCTTTAAATCAAGGAGCTGAGCTGATGGAAGCCCTGTGAATTCTAGTTGGGGACTACTATAGTAGACCATAGATAGAATCCAGCCTCATGTGTTTGCACTTTCGATGTCTCCATGTTGCAACGGCATGCGACCACAGGCATCCAAATTGTTCAAGGCAGACACCTGACAGGCCTTACTGTTGATGGACCAGTAATTGTTCATGTTGTGGGAAGCATACAAGCTTGCATGTGTTTTGTTATCTTCTATATGTATCTATAAGTATTGTTTGTCTTAGACTCATAGGAGGCTAGGAGGTGAGTTTATTTTATGGGAAATACACATATACATATATGGCATATTGTAATAGATGGATAGTATATAATAGATGTGTAACTGTATAACATTGATATATATATATATATATATTCAGTACGTTTTTTTTTGAGTCGTTGGTACTCAACATCAATCAACAATAACCTTCTCCTACATATGAATAATGCCTACGACTTTGTAGAATTTTGTCACCAAGACTGACTTTATTCCACCAAGTTGTTTTGTTGTTCTTGGTGGGGTTTGGCAAGTCAGAATTCAACACATGCAACCCATTTGTTGGTAAACGAACCCCATTGGGTTGGTATATACGTGACTTGCACCGCAGGTCACATCAACTTGTGCATTTGGAGTCTCGGCCGTTTGCAGTTGCAGTCTCGGTCTGCTTCCCCAGGCTCCATCTTCTCCTTGTTTTTTTTGAAGAGAAATGAACGCCCAAAAACACTGGTGACTTTCCACCTGCCAAAAACATATCGTCAAATGCTTGTAGCCATTTTTGTTGTTCCCAAAACACCGCCTTTGGTTGGACTTTCTGAGAAATCCACCACCGCAAAGGATCGTGGTCACTGGTTTCATATCATGTTGCAATCCTATTGCTGCCATGCAGGCAGATGTCATTTCATTTACTGAGTGCGTTTCGATCGAAGCACATCCATGCGAACGCAGGGACTCTTTGAGCGGGTACCTTTTGTGCGAACGGATCGGGTTGGTCAGGGTTTGGAAGCAGCTGAGCCTGGGAGGAACACATTTTTCAGGGTCCCGATAGATGCAAAGGATGCCGCATGAAACTGCTGATCTCTCATCCGACCTCGATTCCCAAAGTTTGGGCCAATTTGGGCCCTTTGATCTTTCAAGTAACAGACCCTCCCACCAGATCACACCTCCTTGCCTCGTTGCCATCGAGGATTTGCGCCTTTTCCATCAATCAGCATGCCAGCATTTGTGGTGGTTTCGGCCCTGCTCCGGACGACCCGGAGGCCTTCAGACACTTCGCCCCTTGCCCGCAGCGGCGTGGGCTTCCCGGCGCTGGTGAAGAAAGGGTGGTGTCAAATTGGGTGGTGGGGATGAATTACCGTTTGTGCAAACATATAAACATTCATGTGGCTTCTAACATTCGAACGAATCAGTTTGATGATCGTGAAAGGTAGCAGAGGATGGCCAGTGAAGAGATGCGCCGAGGACGTGTCCTTACTGCTGATCAATTAAAGTTTCAGACATCAATGTGACAGTCCATGTCGATAATTGAATTCAGATATCGGACCGAGAAATCCCTTCAGTCTTCTCTTCAGCCGTCGCTTGGCTGAACGACGAAACGGCCACCCCTCCACCTCTGAAAAGCAATCGGCCGATCGACCGTGGAGCTCGGCGGGGAGAAGACCTGGCGTTCCGGTCACCACCTGCCACTGGGTTCGGTTCAGTTCAGCCACCAGAGGAGACGTACGTTGGAAGGTGCTGGTATATATTCAATCATATCAGTCCGCCCACTGGTTCCGGTCACAGGATCATTCCGCCGCCCCATGACCCATCCAACCTTTCAGCCTTTGTTTTTTTTGTGGGGTTTAAGGGTTATCAGGGTATACAGCAGCTGTTCCAATGTGAAAATGAGCAAGTGCGAAAGGGTTAAACCTTCAAACCCGGGCCTATCAGGGAAACTGAAGTGCTCAATTTCGTTAGCGTTTGTGCCTTAATTATTATATACCTATTGAAGGACTCGCCACTGTAGCACCTGTAACGCCACCACACGTGTGGCGTCTTCCTTTCGCTCAGGACCGCAAGCGCCGTGACAGGGTGACCCAAGAAATCTACCGGACCTGTACGTGTGTGCCTTGGAAGCATCCCAGTTTGATTTTAGAGAGTTCAGAAATGTGGGTGGTAAATTCATATGGATGAAACTCCCTTGGTTGGGGGTTCTCTCAACTCCTCAATCAAAGACTAAGCATCCAAGTGAGTGGTGCAAAACCTGTAAGACACTGGGATGGCTTCGAGTTGTTCATCAAGAGCAATGCCTCACTTCGCAGGGATGGCAAATGGGTTTGGCAAGTCGTGAAGGCGTGCAGGTATACAGACCTCTCGTGCAGGTATACAAGGCCACGGATTGGAGGATTGGAGGATCTCGTGTGGCTTTCTAACTTCTACACCCGGGTGGTTTACTCGAACCGATTCATCCAACCGATGGGTGTAGAGCCCGTCAAACCGATGGCAAAAACCTAAGCACCCCACTGCCCAACGGGCCGATCTGGAGTGGGGCCCAACTGGGGGTTGGTGAAGGAACGGAAGATAAATTGATTAACAAAAACTAGGGTAACTAGGGCATCGCTACGAAAGTAACAAGGGCATTACTACTATAGTAGCACAAGATAGTTGGCTTTTGCTGGACCTTCATGGGCCAAGTTGATGTTATATGTTTGCACTCCTTTTGGTCGAACGAACGAACCACACCAGCTCCCGCCTCCCGCTGGAAAGATCCCAGACCTCTACGAAGTACTTCAACAATGTGCCAGACCAATGTGAGTTGACGCTGGGCACAGCTCCGCAGGGTCTGCGGCGATGCGCGCAGCACGCTGGGTCCGCGCGGACACGGAGTGACGTCTACCGGTGACGTGGTGGGCCGAAGATCCCGGTGATGTCTACATGGACCCGGATCGGTGGAACTGGGTGGCTAAAGCCCGCATATGTGAATGGTGAGCCTAAATAAATGAGGATCAAGTCTCGCAAAGCCACCCATCCAACTCAGGTTGGTCCTGAAGAAGGCAAGTGAGAAACATGGAGGAACCATTTGGCGATACACTTAGAGCCCGACGGTCGTCCATGTAGCAAAAGACCGACACCAGGTAGTTGGTCGATCCACCGAGGTCGGACGGCCATGGGTCAGATGGAAGACCTCCACCCAGACGCTCCGTTCACAGCCCTTGGGTCCCTCAAAACCTAAGGATTGGTTCGACCCCAGACTCCCCCAGGGTCCAACCCGATATGAGGGTCCAACCCCGAGCGTTTGGGCATGACAAATACCTGGTCAATGTTCGGGTTGGCCGCAGTGAGGTGTTTTTTCGTCCGTTCGTCCGGTCGCTTTCGGGGCATCGACCCGGGAAATGACTCGGGTCCATGAGCATCACCCAACGAAAATATGTCGGGGGTGTCCGAACCTACCTGTAACAGTCAGTAGACAAGCAAATCACCATTTTTTGAACTGTCGGGCTGCAACTGAACCATCATCATCCACTGTTACTGGTAATACTAATAGGATAGACCCAAGCCACTACCCTTAAATATCGAGAGGTGTGTTATCTTGCGTCTCATATTTGTTTGTTGCGTCTCATACACCTGTACTCATCTGAGGAACAAATTTGATGCCATGATGCATTTCTTGAACCAGCTCCTTGCTTCACATCCCAGTGGGAGGCCCTCGCGCGCGCGTGTTGCCACCACTCCCCGACTCGTAACTCAGACTCATCCACACCGGGATATATATATATAATCTAACATTAAGTAATATGATATAGTATGATATGCATTGATTGATATGCATCATATATTCATATAGAACTATAACAATTATATTATGGTTTGTGAGATGGACGTGCACATTGTCGTTCAGCAAAGTCCACGATAAGGGTCCATCTCAGCATGTCCGCAAACAAGAGCTTGATAGAAAGTCCGTCACAATGATTTATTATGTCAAAACAAACACAAGAAACATGTTTACAATGACCAGATGACTCACCAAAACAGATAATGTGAACACAACAAAATGGTAACATGACAAAAAAAAACTATCCGTGAACCCACAAGCTTCAAAACTGATATGAAGCCTACTCTGATTTGGACATTCTGGACAGAGCGGAAACATCGATTGCACATTAAAAATCCTCCACATCCACCTTCTCCAGCCAGATCCCCAAATTTTAAACACCTCTTCGGCTCACCGAGCCGTTTGTTGTTGCGACATGTTCAACACTGGTGACACATAGTGACACCTTTCACAGATGGTCCTGCTGACGCTCTTTGTTTTGGAGTGGCGACCACCAGCACCAAGACCCATCAGCAAGCCAGGCCAAGCCTGCACTACACTCCCTTAAAACAATCATGCAAATTGGACAATGGCCGGTTGGATGACCCATTTTCCTCTACTTGCCAGGGGGGGGGAGTTCCTCCACTGGCCTTCCGGCGGTTGGAGTGCCTAGGCCCTAGGCACTCTTCCGTTCGTCGAAGCGGAGCGCCCAGGCACGTGGCGAACTTCCGTCAAGTCGTCGCCGTGGACGCAGCCTTCGACCTCTTCAGCCGAGCCTGGTGTGTGGCGGCCCCTCGACCGAACCGCGGGGTCTCCGGAGTGCAAAAGGGGGGGAAGCGGATCGAGACCGCAGCTCTAAAGCTTTGCTGAAGAATGTGGGGAAAAGCTTTCGCTTCTGAGCCTTTTTTGGGTATATCCGTGATGAACACGAAAGGCACGTCACACTCCCGTGCCTTTCAACGGACCAAACCCGACCGGACGTGTCGCCGTCGTCGGACACGGCGCCTCGAGGAACTGGTGGAAGCCCGACGGTTGAAGCTGAAGCAAGTCTTGGTCGACGCTGAGTGGCATTGAGTTCTTGGCACTTGGGGGGATTCAGCTGAGTACATGATTACATGGCATGTGGAAACGCAACTGTTCCAGCAGGAGTTGGGGAATTGGCAACGATCCTTCTTGTGTGACCACATGCTTTGTTATGTTTGGTTTATCTTTGAGGGTGATACTGTGATACTGATGTGTGCCCAACATGTCTTGCTCGGTGTGTGTGTGTGTGTGTGTGTGTTTGTTCTCTTTCTGGTTCATTCTGCTGTGTTTTATGTCCTCTGTCGTTCCACAGAAAGAGAAAAGGACATCAACTGACACTTCCTTGGGAACCAAGTTTGGAGCTGGTGCCCCTGCCTGCAAGGTCTATAGCAAGGAGATTGTGGCTGGGAAGACGGAGTCCCTGATGCTTGGCATCGAGTTTCAGTTCTTTTTAGGCAATCACATGATCCGTCGTGTTGTGTCAGGTTGCACCACTCGTGTGAGGTTTCAGATAATGGAGTTGAAGTGAAGAAGCAACCGGCACACTGCAAGGAACTAAGCAAATGGTTTCCCAGTAACGTGAGGGAGGGAATCCATTTCAATGTCTGACCACATGCCCCACGGAATCGAGTCCTGCTTCGCTCATGATCCAGATCCGAGCTCGCTCTTGCATGTGGATTCCCCAGAAGCGTACGAAGCCTCTTAAATTGGAGCCAGAGCCTCATGTTATGATCGAGTTCTAGCTGTTCTAGTTTTGTATCGGCAAATCCATCAACTGAAACAGTCCAGAGGGACCCAGAACTGGGTTGTGAACGCAGGTCATCGCGCCGAAGGCGTACGTATCGAACTCGTGCCCTGCAGGAAAAGCATTCGGGTGCAGGATTGCGAAGCCTCGCGCCGGGAGGATGTTGAAGAGATCTTGGCCAAGATCGAAGACAAGGTGATTCGCCGGCGGAGTCGGTTTTATCACGTGTTCCCACGCGCCGCGTGGGAGGCATGGATGAAGGGATCGCCATGTTAACTTGTGAACATTCCTGGACCATCTAGGAGTGTGGAATCTATTCAGAAGTGTGGGGCAGTCCAGACTCTTTCCAGACTCTTGACCCTTGATAGTCGCAGGAGATTCTTTGTGATGAGGTGTCCATTTGCCGCATGGGGAAGATGTCCCGCCCAAGACCTGCCAACAGGAGAAGTTCAATCAAGAGCTCCAGCGGGCACTCTTCACTGACAGCGACAGCTTGTTCCAACAGCTTTTCCGTAGTCAGCTGGCCAAGAGCGACCTACACAGCACCTCAGCTGACCCACAGGGTGAGCGAAACTCGACCCGAACCAAAGATCCTTTTAAGACTCTTTCGCATCGAAGTTGGGGGGGCGAATCGAAGCGGTCCATTGTCCAATTGAATCGTTTGGTCCAGGTCTATTTTTTTTGACATTTTGGCGTGTCAACATGCAAAAGTGGGCTTGGGATTGTTTATTTTGGTCTCGGAGTCGTGTTACCCCATCATGGTCTTTCTGCTGCGTCCAGGTGCCATTCTAGATGCCTTGGCATGATGACAGCAGCCGGAGATCTTGAACTCGGCGCGAGCTTTGGAATTTCGGAGCTTTCCGAAGCCACATGAAGCTGCTTGGCAGCAGAGGAATGAGGACGCTGCTTGGTGGAGGAATGTAATCAATCCTTGTTTTTCTTATGCACTGGATACGTTGATTGGTGGTGTGAGAATGTAATACAACGTGGCGAACCCGAACACTTACACTGTCAGATTACCTTTGCAATTTGTGAAGCCACTTGAGGGCCACTGCCATTTTCCAAGAGCGGGTTACCGAAAGGTCGACCTTTCCTGTTCCTCCACCCTTTTACTCTACCTAACTTTTGTCATCTATATGCATAGCGGTTGATGCAGTGCCAGCCATGCTCCATCCCTCAAAACACCAAAGGGCCGGTCGGTGATTTGGCGAATCCTGGAGGACTGGAAGTGACTCATTGGATCCGAAGTCAGAAAACATGATCCGCTGATCCCTTCAAGTCGATGAACGCGGTAAAACGGTATCATTTTAAACATAAAACTGGGATCGTTTTTACGTAAATATATACAGTATATATAATTCAAATTCCGTGACATCTCTAATCCCTGCAAGTCCAAAGTCCTCTTTTAACGAGGTCATTTGAAAAGGAACAAGTTTAACTTGAACATCACGTTTGTCGGACCCAACGCTCTTTTGTCCCTTCCACAGCAGCAGCATCACCACATCAGCCCACATAGATCCTGCCAGACTGAGCGAAAAAGCGCTCAAAAAAGTCACCAAATTGAGGAACACATGGTACGTCACCTCCTGGAGTGATGTTCTAAGGGATCCTTCACATGCTTTGCCATGGGAGTTGCGAAAGGTGGCCGAACTATGTCAGAACTGCCAGTCCTTGCCATGTCATCGTCGCCACGTCACATCCACATCGATCCTGCCACAAGTGCATTGCTGAGGAGAGAAAATTTTAGAGCGAGCGAGCCTAACTCACTCAAGCTAGTGATGCTAGCGCGCTTCTTGGCGTAGCCGCTTGTCATCCAGATTGCTGATAGGTAGATGCTGTACAATGAAAGAATCAACCTATTAAGTAACTGCGCAATCAGAGAACCGAACTGTCCTGCGCACGCGTGCCTTTGCACACTGAAGCAGAGAAACGCAATCTTGGCCAGGAGCCTTTAATTCCATGTGTCTGCCAAAGATTGCACTCGCAAGCTTCTTGATCATCCCAATGCTGTCCTTCTCTGAGAAGCAATGCGAGAACCTGGAATTCAGTCCTGACAGGCTTGAACCCAGTGAGCAAAGAACGGTCATTTGTCCCAAAAGAGACGTGAAGCCTCTTCCCAAAAGACCAGTCAAATCTCTGAATCCTCTTCCAGTAGGCGCATTTGTGCATGAACCTGGAATTCAAACCTGGGGGCGCTCAAACCAAGTGAAAGAAGGAGGAAAGATGAGTCGATATGATCTAAAGACACACTCAGCCAAGAATCGCGCTCTCTCTCTCTCTCTTGGTTGCGAGGCCCGACGTGGCAGAACATGTGTGCTTTTGGCTTCAGGACCCATCGTGACAAGTCACTCAATAGTGGTGAAAGGCCCTTGGTCTCGAAGGGCGCTTGAAGTCTCTGAATTGATCAAGGGAACTCTTTGCCATTCATGGAAGTCCTGCTGGCTACTTTGAGGCAGCGGATGTGGTTCTGCAAACCCCAAATCCAGAACCATCCAGAACCCATGAACTGGCCTGGGTCTCCTTGTTTTTTTTTCGCTCTCAAGTGACTCAAGTGGAAGACGCAAATCCAGTCTCTGCAGAACAGGAAGCCGATGTCTTTCTTGAATGTCTTCGCCTCAGTGGGAACCAGCTCCAAGTCCTTGCGGAACCATTCTCACAAAAGACCAGATCCTATTGGTTGACCCTGATTCATCTCAGTGCCATTGCCAGGCGAAGAATTCAGTTCCGGTGGCCACAGAAAGCGTGGCTGGGATCTGCATGTCTAGCGGCAAGCGAAACATGGCTAGAACAGGGTGCCCTGAACGTGTCAGAAGACCTAGGAGATGAAGGCCCAGAAGATCAAGGCCAAAACATGTTTCCTGTTTGAATGGGCACCCTGTTTGGTCAGGACAACCCACTTGGCTGGGTCAAAGCCAGAGATGCGGGTCGCTGCTTGGTGCCGACATCGATCGATTCGGATGAGTGGGAGACAATGAAGGCTTTAATAGGACCAGGTAAAGCTAGGCTCCATTGAAGTAAATCGTGTTCAATGTCTTCATTTTGAGATGGACAAGTTTAACGAGGTCATTGACTTGGATGAATTGCTGAACCGGCGGACTTGCAGGGGATGGAGAATTTTTTGTTGTGCCATTTTAGGCCATCTCCTGTCCACCTCTGCTGTCTTGGGTCGGTCCGGGTGCTCGAGCCGATTCATGTCAAGACAAGTCGCTCAGTCATGTCAAGTGCGGATAAAGGCCCTTTTTTCTCCTGAGGACGTGAGCAGTGATGGAAGATGATGGACGTGACTTGGCGAAATTCATGGGTCATTGGGTCTCGAAATCATGATCATCGCTACTTATAGTTGCAAAAAACTACTAGTTTCGTCCCTCAAGGTGGACGTGCGATGAAGTGCCCCGAATTTTCCTCGGACTGGCACTGGAGCTGGCCGCAGCTGCGGGTCATCGTTGCCTGGTTGAAGCTCGGATGAAAGGCTCTTTCTGGATGAAGTGCGGACGGCGGACGTTCGAGCTGGACATCCCAAACTTCGCTGCGTTGATCGAACTGTTGGTCTTGGACCCCTTCTCCTACAAGGCCACTGTGCGGTTCCTGCTCGAATTGGTTTTGTCGCAGGACAGGGGGAGCCTTTGAGAACCCCACATGTGAGCACATCACTTGACAAGTCGACAAACCCAATGTGGCCCAAAGCTTCACAGGCATTTTCTGAAAGGGACGAAGGGTCCATTGACTTGAGTTGGAGGGAAAACACGATCATCACGACCCTATGTTTATGATTATTGTGTATCAAGTGGTCAATCCTTGCAACCTCCATGACTCCTTGCAACATTTGTCCACACCCCTGTGCCCATGGCCAATGAGAAGGGCAATTCAGAATCACATGTGCGTGGTTGACATGCCTCGTATACAAAAATAACAGGTTTCCGTGCTAAGAGTCCTGAGGACGGTTGGTGGTGCATTCGGCCGGAGTTGATCGAAACGACTCAGAAGGGGAAAACGACTCGATCAAATCGCTTCCGTCGGGGCATTTTTTTGTGCCACGCTGGGAAGGAAGACGTGGCGCATGGGCATGTGTTCACTGGAACATGGACCTCCATTTGGGCAGTTCTAATAGTTCATTGGAACTTTGAAATTTTACTATTGTAAATGATTTGCACCCTGAAATAGAGCTTATGAATGCTTATGATGTTTTGCTTGATTAAGTTTATTTTAATAGCTCTCTATTTAGTTTTGATAGTCTTAGTCTTTGGATGTTTTTGAGGATTTCATTTGATCTCTTTTCCTTTTCCACACAACAACACTAATCTCCTTTCATCTCCGTTCCAGAAAATTATCCCTCCCTCCCTCCTCCAGAAAATTCACCCTCCCCAATACTCGTCCCCTCAAAACTCGTCTAGTCTAAACCATTGAATGAGGTTTATTTAGGGTCAGGTTGGGGGGGCCCTGTCATAGGTGGACATAACATGACATAACGGTTGTTATTTTTTGTTGTGTGTGTTGCCGCTGGCACTTGGAGGGAAACTTTCAGGAAGGCCCATGTTTGAATCAAGCGCCCCGGAAGATGGGCGCCCACATTGTATTTTTGGAGCTTTCTGTTTGGCCGGAAGCATCTCGACAGAATCTCCCAATCAAATGACACCTTGACCTATATACAGTATATATACTGCAGTATTGTTCTGGATGTAGATGGCAGTAGATTCAGTTCCCTCTATGTATACCTGCTGCAGCGCATGTTTGTTTCCACTGACAAAGTATATAATACAGGATCTAGAAACACCATCGTCAGGATCAGTCAAATTTAATTGGTGTTTTTTCATTTTGTTCGAGCCATTGGTCATGTAGCCTTCTTGAGAGGCTCCTGCCGTCATGATTGAGTTGCTCCAGCACGTCCCGCGGACCTTTGGACAAAAGATCAAGAAGAATGCAATTAGGGGACAAATCTGAGAAAGCCCCCGTATTTGGTTCAGAGGCCACAGTCTTTACTCGAGCCATTTGGTTCAAGATGGTTCCAGTATTTAGGGAAACAGCCCTTTCACCGTGAAAAAGACTGCACCTCCTGAGCCAGACCGCCCCCCCCTCACCGCTGAGGTACACGATCCATCGGCGGCAGACCGCCTCGGTCTGACCTGTGCCCTGCGCCGAAAAAAATGCTTTGGGTGCGTCGCGAAAGACATGGCCACCTGGACTTGGGCTCGAGTCGACCAAGAAAGAGGGAGTTGTTTTTGGAAACATCGCAGAAACCGAGACATGTTTCTTCTTCCGACCGCCAAACCGGAGATGATGACATTCCCCTTCGGAAATCCAGGTCATCATCTCTTACCGGGTCGAGGAGGACGAGGAGTGCCTGATCTTTGAGCCCGGCGACCGCACGTTGTTGGTATGATGCACTGTAGATGCCATATAATGTAGACTCTTGATTCATAAAGCACCCATTTGAAGTGGAAAGTCCTCTTCATATGGGGGGGGCAATTAATCAAGAGCCTACATTATAGATGTTGGCGCCGTGTGAAGGAATGAAGTGCCCAACGATCATACTCGCCTGGATTGCGCCGCCGTGTGGAGGGGTCGACGAGCCACGACGTTTTCAGAGACGGGGTTGGAGTGCCGGGAATTTGAGATGTTGGAGTGCTGGGGGAACATGCAGTGATGGAGGGCAACCTGCACTGGATGGTGGGAACCAGTGTGAACCGAGAACCCGGAAAAGCGAAGTATGCATCCCAGACACTCCATGGGACTATGGAATATAGTATTGACATTTATTTGACCTGTTCAACCATCCCAATCTATATGCGAATCCCATCGGTCGTGTTTGGAACTGGATGTCAGCCTGAATGTCACGGAATCTTAGACCGGACCTTGGACCAAGCAGCTTGATCGGGAAGGTCCATGTTCATCAACAAGAGACCTCAGGACCAATGGGTCCTGGAGGGCGACCGGTCGCCACAGGAGCCGGACTCCACGGAGGCGAAGAGAGTCGAGACTCGGGGCACGGAGGCACGACCAGGACATGGACCCGTTGCAAAGGATGGATGGGCACCACTAATAGTCCTGTAGTAAGCAAGTTGGACTGACGGATTTGATGTGATAATATTGGCCGTTTGGGTTTGGATGTGTGTGGTGTACCCTTGTGTTTGTACTGCGGTTCTTTCCATTCCCAGAAATATACACCTACATTGACACCTTTTCAACCACACCAGTGACACCAGTGTTTCGATTAGAGTCTTCATACATCTTCCAGTCCCATGGAGTGTCGATTCGCACGGGTTCTTGGAAGAAACGGTCTTGAAGGGCGAAAACTTGGAGTGAGTGCAAATGAAGGGATCCCTCAACGTGTGGGACTGGTTTATACAAGCTCCGCACTGTCCAGCCGTTTGAGTTTGAACCGGTTGTGCTGATTATTGGTTGAACAAAGAGTGCGGAATCGTTGAGTCTTCCAGTCCAGTCCGACAATTCAGAAACAGCAAGACGAAGCAAGTCAAACTGGGGTATAACATTCCCATGATTTCTGGTTGATCAAACATTGGGTTAGCTGGGACAAAGAGATGCATTCTTCGGCGTGACGCCATTGCTGAGATATTTTTAACATGTTTGTATATATTGTTTCATAGTTTTTGTCATTTGTTGTCCATTTCCGACTGCAGGGTGCAAGTCCGTGCATCGAACTTCCGGGAAGGTGAAGAGCATTCTGTCGCCTTCCTTTAAGTCACCGGCGGCTTGCGCCGCACAAGCGCAAGCCGCGCAAGCCGATGAGGTGGAGGAGGTGGCGAGCCGGCTTTGCTGTTTGGGAGAAACAGATTTCGAGTGGAAGGATCCGCGATGTAGAGGAAAGGACAGGAACGGATACATGGATGTCCCGCGAAATCATGGTCAGTGAGCATGCCTTTAGGGGTGTACATGCAGCCCATGTGGGGGTTTGACAGACACTCCTTGCACGGTTCTACTAAGTGTCGACTAGTACTTTGCGCGGTGGGTGCCGGTGGTCATTTTTTTTTCGCAGGTGGGGGCCAGTGATGCACAAACCAAACGTGGGAGCTTGTAAATATTTGACGCATCTTTGCGGTTTGATTGGCCAGTGTCGTACACCAGGACCCCCACAGGGAATGTCTAACATCCTCGAAAAGAGGGTTGCAGGGTATCCATGAACCACCCCTTGGAGGTATTGGTGCACTTTGTTGTGTGTGTGCGCCTTTCTCTTGATTTCCTGGGATTGCGGAGCCTGCGGAGCCTGACCATGAGTTATTTTTCTTTCAAAACTCACTGCCCGATTTGCCTGCCATCTCCAACACATCCAGTGACTGCTTATTATTGAGGCTTCAGGATGCTTCAGCCTAGGTACGTTTTCAAAACTTTCAAAGTGATCTATCCACTCGGGATGAAGCAGGCCAGTTGCAAAAAAAAGGCGACTATGGTGCTTATAGTGGATTGTTTTCAGGCTTTTCGTGGTCCCTGAGGGAATGACCCCCACGTTCCGAAAGAGATGCGGTATTCAGTCTTCGCCTCGCCCTCATTCCTGGCCCATGCATAAGACGCAGCAGTCTGGAAACCACCCAAATCCCATGAAATCCCCAACCTCCGGACTCCGGAGGTGTTTTTTCTCCTGTCCGGGTGGGTTTTTTCTGGAGGTCACAATGGCAGTGGAAGTGGAATCCAATGCTTGGAGCCTCGTTGCCTTCGGCCGGTGGACGGGGCATAGAGAAGATCTCGCCGTGTGTCGGATGTTTGGATGTTGCGGAAGGTGTCGAAGACCGAACATCCATCAAAGGAGGATGGACTATGGATTGATACCCTAGTAATGTGTGTTGCTGGTACTGACTAAATACGAAGCTCCACTCAGAACGCGCATGTGATCACGTTCAGATGTGTTGTTTCTTTTCAAGGAATCAGTGCTGGTGAGTGTTGGAAAGACACACCAAATTAGGACGCATTCTCAAGGCAACAAGAACACATTTGACCATGGGTGCCCCTAAAGCCTGGTAAATTGAACACATGAGTCTAAAAGCTTGTGGTCCCCGGATTCATATCATTACCATATACATTTGCCATCATTTACCCCATAATATGTGACCCCAACGCAAATAACTATCCCATACATGGATGATCCTGGTATCAGAGCCATAGCCACGAGAACAGTCTCCCATAGTCTCCCTACACATGTTGAGATCTTTACGGAATCACTTCCTGCCAAGAGTAAGGCAACCGGCAACCGCGTTCGCTCGGATTTATTCAGACACCCATGTATTCTGAAATATTTACATACATCGGGGTGGTTGAAAACAGGTCAATGTAGATAAACCTGCCATACACCACCCCTTCTTTGACTCAGATCAGATCTTCTTGGGCTTTTGGAGAGGACGACCCAGTCGCAGGTCGATCCGGCAGAGGTGGAAGAAGTCGAGGAAGAGGCGAAAGAAGTACTGCAGCTGGGGTGTTTTAGCAGTGCTTTGCCGGTATAGCTGCAGGGTACAGAAGAAGTATACGACGCCAAGCGGTCTTGGGGGGGGTGGAAGGAGCTTGGCGACGTGGAATCATGGAAAGTGAGGGGAGTGGAGTCTGGACATTGTGTTTGGGCGTGTTTGTTTTCCGAACTGATGCTAAGTTATACGGCCGTATACCACTGTTGCAGCGCCAGCGAAAAAGACATGCTCCTGGTTTTGCTTCTTGTTCGGCCTTTGCCCATGGCCATGTCCGCTGACGGCAGACGCGGTGCCAGGTCTTCCAGGTGATGCCGGCCAGTGAGGTGGGTTCAGGGCACCGGGGAGGGTTTTCGGTACCGAGGAGTTCCGGGAGTTCGGCCGCAGAGCTTGGGAGTCCGGCCACACCCCTCGAAGTGCCGAACTTGGAGGTAGTCGGGGTGCCCATGATCCACTCACTTAGGAACTAAAAACCACCCCTTCGTGACTCCTGGTAGATGTTTTGGTTGTTTTGTTGTTTATCAGGGAGAGAGGCAAGTTGGATCATGAGGTTTTGACCATGGACATGTGCTGAGGGTGATTCTGATCCTCAAAGACCAGGACGCAGGGAAGAGAAGGTTTGCGCGATTTTCACGAGGGATGACACTGAAAATCGTGACTGGCTTCGGCGGCCAGGCATTCATCAATTTCAGGGCAACACCTTGACTTAAAATTGGTACTGCAATATTGAGTACTCCATGATTTGTAGGTTGAAGAATGTTGAGACATCTTCTGTGTCTCTTCCTGTGGATTTGTTCATTGTTTTCTATTTTTTTATCAGAGACCAGCGTCAAAACATCTTAGACAACCAACCTAATTGTGCTGTAGATCATGTTTTGCCATCCTTGTAAGGGTTTTGTTTATTGATCAATCAACAGCCGACTGTAACCTAGTTGCTTGTGCTCTTTGCCTTCAGGGACGGCCACCCGCTGGAAAACCAGGCGCGGCAGAGTGGGGAGAACGAGATGCCGGCTGATGGTGTGGAGTGGGGTGACGCCACAAAACGACAAAATATTCAGTGGTCAGCGGATTTCTGTCGATTAATGACACTCTGAGCATGCACTTCAGTACGTTGCTAACTTGTGTTGCAATCTCTATGCAACCTGCTGCAGGATCAGTACCTTTCAAGGTTCAGTGTGATAGGTGCCACTGGTTACCCACTGGAACCTAGTACGCCTACTGAGGGTCAGCCACCTTTCGCTTCTCAAAGAAGAAGTTCCAGCACAGCACACGCTGCCCATGGGTCGACTGGTGCGACTCCTGACCTGGTGCACCAGGCTCCGAGCTCCGGGTGCAGAAGCGCGCCGCGCGGCGCACGCACTCGGCGAAGGCGCGTGGCCTCGGACCACGAGGCGCGGAAGACGCGGAAGGGCCGGTCGATGGGCGGAACGGAACGGCGGGAAGAATTGAGGCACATCTCCAAGCATCTAATGATGAGTACTGGAATGCCAGGTTGGCATAGGTTGGCGTCTATGGGTTCAGAAAAGAAATGAGCGCATGTCTTTTGTTTCAGATTCTTCAAATCAAGTCAGGGGCCTTGATAGCTTGGGTCCTGGTGGCTTTCCTGGTCAGGTCCATATCCGCGGCTTCCTACAAGCACCTTGGTGGCGTGGGCACTGGGAAAGGGAGATGAATCCTTGGCCTTCCCCGTAATTTATATGTTTGACATAGATTGACCCGTTTTGTTGGGATTCCAGTGTTGGTAAAACAATGTAGAACATGGAAAGACAATAGTTGTTCGAGAAGCAGATCAGTTCCTTCGACAGTAGTTGAAATTCCATGGTTGAAATTCACACCTCCTTGCCCCGAGTCTCAGATCGTCTCACGGCCCTCACGGCTGGTTGCATTGAATCCTGGGATTGAATCATGAGTTCTTCCTTTCCCCAAGATAATCTGTTTACTATGGTGCATGGCTGTTACATGGTGTTTACAGTGTCACTGACATGTGCTTTCAGAGGTGCATCGGAGAAACAAGCAGTGAACCCAACCATGCAGCTCGCTCGTTCGATCGATGTGGGGGGCTTAGGAATAGAAAAGTTCCTTTGACAGTTCCTTCGACAGCTCGCTCGTTCAACGCCCCCCTTTTCTTGTCATGAAAGACATCTGGGACCTCGAAACCCACCTGAATGTTGCAAGTCATGAGATACTCTGGGATACTCATGGATATTCTTGCAAAATGATACTGCATTTGAAGAAGGGTGCGTCTCACTACCTGCAAGTGTCGGTCCAAGATGATCGCCATTATTTTGGAGAAAGGTCGACTCAATACGAAGCATTCTCCTACCAACCATTGCAGGCAGGTATGATGATAGACCCCAATTTGAGGTCCTTACTTGCCCAAGTCCTTACTGCCCAATCCGAATCTCATTCTGTTTGAGGTCCTAGGACCGGATATCCGGGAAGCAGGCCGCCGAACCGGCGCCGACGTGCCCTGGCCGTCGCCACGCGTCCGTGCTACCCATTACGGGTATGTGTACCAGTGTCTCACAACGAACGGAGGCTTCGCATGGCTTCGCAACAAGGATGACATGATGTGTCTTTGGTGAAGGTGTGTTCAACGTTGAATGGAAGTAGCACGCGATGACAAATGTGCCATCAAAGGTGGTCTTGATGGAGCTTCCATGCTTTGCGGTTTTGTATTGTTTTACTCTGAAACCACTGTGGTGGTGTGACTGCTGCAAGGTGTTCTCGATGGAGTCTGTGATATGTCGACAAGGTCCTCAGTTTTCCTGCGCATAACCATTTATGTCAAAGAGTCGTGAGTCGGACACCTTATAAGTTTCCCAGTCAGAAATGGTGTTCCATGGAGGATTGGGAAGGGTTTGATAATGGTCAAGCACAAGCTTGTGTTGGGTACTAGGCATGAGTTAAGAGATGTTAAGAGGGTCAGCCGCACGAGTCCATTTTGGGATGGTGCCTGGTAGTGGAGGGTTTGGTATTTTTTTTTTTCGCATGCCGCATGCATCAACTCCTACCCAACATGCTTGGCTTTGCATTGTGAATGGGTACCAGTTGCAGACATCGTACACATTAATCATCATTAATCTATATTGTTATAAATAGGATTTGATATCGCTATGATGGGTTTGTTTGATCAAATCAATGTGTTTAATCCAGCCTGGTTTGATTCTGCTGGGATGCAGTCTTGAAACACCACAATTTGTTCCATCCATTCCCAATCTGAAACGCCGACGCCCACCCGGGCCCACCCGCCTTCCCCGACAGGTGAAGAGACAGTGATCCGCAGCGGTCGTGTGCCGTGGCAAAGCTGCAGTGCTTGCCGATGGTGGAACCCCAAACAGCAGTCATCCTGGACGAGATAAACATGTCTCTGGGAAGATCCGAAAAATGGTCAAGGAAACTGGAAAAACGTCGATAGAATATAGGTCATGCTTTTGGATTGGTGTAAATATTCTATCTACTCATGTCCAAGTTCCCTTTGGTCCAGCTCCACCTCGGGTGAACACCCAGGGAATCCCTTTGGTCCACCGTTCCAGTTCGACTAAATCGTTCAGATGCCGTGTCAGACAGAGAGGCCGATAGACTCAGCTTACAAACCCCTTAGAGTCTGACTATAGAGAGCGTAGTAAGCATCACAAGCCTTTTGCCAGGCAAGCACTTTGAATTTGGAATGCGTGTGAAGCCGCCAGAATATGGCAGCTTCTTAGACCGTGGGTGTCACTGCTATGGCCAAGGGACATTCACCGCACCGAGTCTGCAGAAGTGAATGGATCCAACCGCCGATCCGAGCGATGCCATGGATCCATCCAACGGCCTAATTGTCCCTTCATGTTGGATCACGGTAGTAACAAGAAGCTACGCACGTAGCATTTCGGACATCGCTACGAGGAGCAAGAAGCTAGTAGGTAGCTCCTGGAAGTAACAAGGTTCGCTACTCCGCTCTGGTCACAGACCAAAAAAGGCCTGGCCCCCCCGCCCCCCCCAGGGTGACCGGGAAGGTCGGCTCGGACGACGGATGGGGATCTTCCGAGGATGCATCCATGTGTCTACTGTTGGAGTCACAGTGGGCCTGAGGTTCGATGGCACAAGTTACCCCAAGTTCGGTGGTGTATCCGGACCCCATATATATTAAGACATTGAACCAAGCGGTGCCAGTGCCATCGAACCTCTGAAAACCACTACAAAACCTACGGACTACCCTACACTGCTTAGAGATGTCCAGACAGGACACCGACCTGGGGTGTACATGTCGATGTGGACTCCGAGTGGACTCCGACCCCGACTTCTAAGGGCTGAAGAAGTTCGCAGTAGAACGAACTTGCAGGAGAAATATAAAACTGCTATATATATATATTATAATACATTATATAATATATTATATAAGAGCTAGAGCTATGACTCGTGAAGTGCTACTGCTACGTTAATAGCTAGAAACTTCAGGGCTATTATTGTACTCCAGGGCTTAGACATAGCAATTTTTTCCCAGTAGGTCGGTTTAGAGCTATGTCTCGTCCCCCCCAAAGTTCCCACCATCCCAAAACCGGCTCGCGTTTTGAGGAAGCCGTTTGGGAAAGAAGTCTCGCACTGTTTGGATCTGCACGGGTGGTATGTATGTTCCTTGTCCCAAGAGTCCCAAGGACCAAATCCCAGATCAGTGGAAGAGTTCATGGCCTACACTCACCCCATCATATATGACGTAACTACTGTAGATTCACTGGACATGGATATTCGATATGATGAATTATGATCAAATGGATGACAGTATCAATAGACAATGAGGAACGGTACCGGGTTTGGGTGTTTTGCACCCATGAATTCCACTCGATGTTCTTCCTACTTCAGACAGTCACTACCCGCCTTGGCTGCCGATGACATCCTCGGTGCCCCCTTCATGTGCCAACACATGCGTTTTCGATTGCGTCTTCGCGCAACAAAGAAGCAACATCTGAACTGGGTGATGTTTTCAGATTTTTTTCAGATATGTTTATGTTCAAACGTTACATGGGATGCTTGATCCCACATGGGATGATTGATCCCACTGACTCATATGTTTTGTTCGTGAGTTGAAAACCACCAACCAAGAGTCTTCTCTGAGTGATGCTGTGAAAGAGTGTTTTGAAATGTGACTGCTGTACTCCATAATACTTCATATGTCCTAGACGCTCCATGTATGGAATAACATTCAACTGGTCGGAAATATGTCGTTTGGGGCTAGGGGTTGAGAGGGTTGAAACATTCACCAACAAAAAACACGTGGTCAAAGTGGAAAACGTCCCTTTGTAGAGGAACGTAGTCTTCCAGCGGCTCAGGTTCCCCTCCCTTGTCAATGATGAAATTTGTGTAACGCCTTCAAACGTCGAATCTCCTTGGGGCCCAAGCTTGGTTTGGACCCCGTCAACTCCCCGTCAACTCAATAACGGTGTCTGGAGACTAAGAAGGAATAGCCGAAGGCAGAGCCTGTGCTTGTATACCCTGTACAGCAACAGTACCAAAACATGAGACAAGCAGGACAAGCCATGACAGAGCATCACACACCACTGGGGCTTGTTTCTTTTTTCTTCCTGTCCTCTTGGCACAGGTGCATCTCATCTCCGCCCATCTCGCCAGGACGAGATCCGCATCGGCGGGCGGGATCGGGAGCTGCGCCATGCGGAGAAGGTCCACGAGAAGGTGCAGAGAGTCTCGGGTTGGGGGAGGCGCAGTCCGTTTTCGGTGGTATGTGAAGGGATGGGTCGTGACCCAGACACTCCATGTATGCTATATATATATATATAGGCCTACATTGACCCCCAAAACCACCCCAATGTAGGCACATACGGCATACATGGAGTGTTTGGGTGATGGGTCAAAACCTGGAGCCCTAATGAGCATCCAGCGAGCTTGACCTTGGTGGCACATGCGCGCTCACATGGACTTGCGAGATGGACGCCTCCATCTACTTCTACCGGGCACTCCCAGTGTTGCGGTCATCATCCAATGGTTTGGGACGGATCATATATGTTTCTCACACAGCTCAGAGGCGGCCCAGAACACCAGTCTACACCATGTAACGACCAACATCAAGCTCTGGGATCCTGTATCCTGGTGCCATGATCCACAGCCATATCCAAAAGTATTCTTGTTTCCTTTTGGAATGAACCCCTTCCTGTCTTTAGCATCCCACGGCAGCCCTTTGTTACATTCATTGATTCATAGCTTCAAATTCCTAGTAAGGCCCACGAGCTACAGTATGTCCGAGCTCTCGCTCCGCACGCGCTCGGCGATGCCCTGCCCTTGGATCGCCAGGAGCGGCAGCTCCGGGATCCCTTCAATCAGGACAACGCGGTGCGAGCGCCCGGACGGACGACCGCGAGCTCCGGAGTGGAAGCGGACGGAGACACGATCGAGTCGAGGTGCAAGACAGGACCTGGAGAGAATGGAACCGGCAACCAGGCATCTATGGATGTCTATGGATGTCTAAGGTTCAGGACTCACTGAGAACTTCAGGACTCATTGAGTTTTCACTGGTCATGACCTGTCAGGATTGATTCTGCATGACTTTAACGCTGTGGCAGGATGTTTTGGACCATGTTGACCACTTGGACCAACGGTTCCTCACCGCTTTCGCCGGATCTGGTCATCATCAGTGCGCATCCGCCCAGGCCCGCGGCTGGTATCAACGCAGCACCACCAACACAGGCGATGTTGCTGTGGATCTAATAGGCCACTCCTCTCCCCCGGAAACCAACACACCTTTTCTGTGGGGGGTTCGCTTCAGCACACAGATGATGCATCTCACCTGGCCTGGACCTGTTTAATTGTGGTTCAGGAGAAGCTGTTTGCTTCTATTGAAGTGACAATGGACTTCCTGACGTTCAGATGTTCGAACCGATAGAAGGTATGCTCCATTAAGATGTCAGTCATCCATGAATGTAGGATACCCTAAGCGTTCAACTAACCACTTTTTGAAGTTGTTTGGTTTGGACTTGGGGGGGTCAAACAACTCCTTGATATTGTATGTTTTAACAGTTGGAAGGTCAACTGTTTTGCACCCACTTACGGACACCGTCTTCTGCGTTGTTTCTCCGTCGCAGGCAAGACCATCATGACCTCAGGTGGTGGTCCTCGTGTGCAGGCGAGGAAGGGTGGGCTGCCGGGACTGGGGGCAAGTCCAGTGGGGATACTTTTGAGTCTTCCACCTAGCACACCCTGGAATCCAGGGTGGTCCGTTCCGGACCAGTGGGACAGGGAACCTTGATGTGAACACTTCAAATTACTTAGTTAAGTTAATTAGTCTATGTATATAGATGATACCATAAAACTAAATTATGTCATATGTTGTCCAATTTAACCTCCCAAGACTTCTCATGCTGGCTCATTGTTAGCTCATGCCTTTGGCAGTTTGCCCATTCAGTGAGACTTTGCGATCTCTTCTCAAACCCTAGACCCCCCACCAAATTAGGCAAATATTGGCTCCCATGGGCGTTTGACTTTCCTCTATGGGGTGGAGAACATCATGTCGTTTCCTGTGTCCCACATGGTTTCCTCGATCATTGAGACCGACCACATAAGCCATGGCATGTCGACCCTCACCCAGACCCGACCCAACGAACTCCACTTCTGGAAGTGGCTGGCATGGTCTTCTCGGGTAGGTCGTACTACCCTTCCTTCTGAAGGAAGACAGGGGGGGGTGCCATCCACGTCCCCGTCCCCTGCCCTGCGGCTCCCCTCACCGTGTCAGGCCGGCTACGGGCGGCGCGTGAACCCGAACTCCAACAACTTCCGAGGCTCGGGGGCCCCGGTTTTCCCCGTAGGGAACTCGATCGGTCTGCGGGAGGGGGAGGTAGATGGTGAGGCTGAAAATCAGTGAGGCTGGACCTTCATTTCGTGACCGAACTTGATATCCCAGCATGTTCTACAAACAGAGACTCCAAAAGGATCACTGCGCAGAGACTGAAGGTCTCGGGACTGGATTGTGACTGTGTTCATTCGGCCTTCAAGGACTTCAAGGGTGTCCAATGGAGGTCCCTTAGTAGTGTATGGGTCTTTCAGCCAGGTGACCCCTTTAGAAGGTGTGCCAGCACTGTTTTTCTGGGCTTTGACCCGTTTGCTTCACGCCCGTGCCTATAATTTGGTCTTGGAGCCTTCCCAGAAAGGTGTGACATGCGGTGAGGCAAGGCTACTATCCCCAGACACTCCATGAGACTGCCATAGATGCCTACATTGGGGTGGTTTTGGAAGTCAATGTAACGTAGGCATATGGCAGTCCCATGGAGTGTTTGGGATCTCTTTCCCACGAGAAAGTCGGCGAGGAGAGCAGGATTTGGCCGCCGGCCCGCCGGCTTTGCGTGTCGCTTCTTTCCCCTCCGAACCGGGCCGTCAGTGGCCTCGGGCTGCACCGTCACTTCGAGTCATCCGGCCGCTGAACTGAAAAGGCCCAGAGGGCTTCTAGGTTGACCGGGCTTCTATCCCCTCCATCCTCCATACGAGGATATGGTCCATGGTTTGTTGGAATGGACTGGAACCAAGAAATGGAGTTTGAATCATCGACATACACACACACAAGCACACCCTAGACATACACTGGCCGATGTTTCTTGGCCAGGTTTCAAGCCCAAAAAGAGGTGAGAACGCTCTGACTGCTGAAAGCGTCGCGTCCTGCACTGGGACGTTTGCACGTCTCACAGATGTGGAGATGGATTGATGAGGTGTGCAGGCTACAGATGAGCAACTGCTGGATGATTTGGTCAAGCACGTGCAGTCAAACATTATATAGATGGAAGTAGACGATATTCCACTAGTTAGGAGAAGAGCCCCAAAGCACGATGTTGCTTTCAGATTCTATGACTGTTTTGGAGTTGCAAGGTATTACAGAAGCACAAATAAGACATTGTCATGTTGATTTGCATGGTGTTCAGTGTGCCATAGTGTGCCATTTCATGTCATTTCCATTTGCCTACGACAAGGAAACTATCATTGAGCCAGATGTGAAGAGTTGTTTTCATGTGAAGGTGAAGAGCATTGAAGAGCTAATATGTTTTTGTTTGATGATTGTTTGATCAATCAACATAGAAGAAGGATGTAGCCAAGAAAACTCATGCATTGACTCAACTTGGCAGGGCTTTCACTAGACAAACTTACATCACCGACATGCTTTCAACATGTTTCAACCGATCATGTGTCTTTGCCATTGCAACAGAAATGAAGCTGGAATCACCGAAGTTACCTGAGGGGACTTGGATCTTGATTGTCGCAGGCAAGGTTACTACTGGGAATGAGGGTGCCAAGAAGGGGGCATAGATTGGCTAATAGTATGAATGTGGACACTACATGGTCATGACATGTCCACAAATACGATGCTTTGGCAGGGTATTTCTTCATTCTTATCATCAATCATTCTATGCAGCGTACGTCTTGCACTTGGCGGGCGTAAAGGTCTGCATGACTTTGCCCGGATGACCTAAGCTTCGAAGGAGACAGGTTCATCTTGTACAAAAGGTACGCAGAAGCGGCTTGAAGAGCTTCAAGGCGATGGCGAAGAGTGTGACATTACACGATGTTTGTTGACTACTCACGGGAGTATGATTTGTGTAATAGGAACACCTCCTTTCTGGCCCCTGGCTGGGGTAGACTGGTCTATTTGTTCAAGGCACGTGCCGCTCTGGACTCTTTAGTGCATCATGAGGAGATATGAAGACGGCACTCGAGATGTGTAGATAGAGTTTCACCACTGCGACGAAAACACGAATCACATCGACTCACTCTTCAATCCGCCGGTCCCCAACATCCGCGGCCTGGAAACCCGCGAGACGCTTTAGACGTTCAGACGCGTATCCTCGCGATGCGTCTCGTGGTGAGGCCCAACGGATCTGAGGAAGGAAACAACGCGAAAAGAAGACATGAAACCGATGGGTGGGAGCGGTGTGTGTTTGTGCTAAGCGAATTTGATTTCCGGTGCATTTTCTCAACTTCCAGTGATTGCAGTGTTTCATTCTCCAGTTTCAGCTTTGTGTGTGTGTGTGCACGCTCTTGTCACATGATGGGGCTTGTTGCTTGGGTCGATTGACTTCTGCCACCCGCTCATTGTATACTTGACAGTTTTTTTTTGTTGTCCTTTAGCGTAGCTGCCGAGATGTTCATCGTTGACGTGCTTCATTCAGCTTTGCGAATGGGAAGGCCCTCCAGGGAAGGCAGACCCCACCCATCCCCCCCCCCCCACAGTCCTCTCTCCGAGCGAGCGAACCATTGCGCCAGGAGTTCAGTGGATCACCTCCAGGTCACCATTTCATTTGGGTCGCCCCTTTTTAAACATGAACTAAGGCTCTAAGGGTTAAACATGGTTACCCTCTTCTCTAGCACATCACATGGATGTGGATGGATGGCATGGTCCCTTGGAAGACATTTCCTTGAACAAAAAACAGGGGGTGCCATCCACTTCCACTTCCACCCTGTGATGCTGACACTTGCAGGGAAACTCCGGCGTCCCGTCGGGGCCAACGACGTCGAACATCGCCGCCCCGGATCCAAACGGATCGGCCTCGGACCACCCTGGGACCCGATCGGAACGAGGAGCGCGGTCCCGGGAGGTCGGAGAAGGTGGGGACGGGGTAGCGGTCCCGGTCCCGATGACGCAAATGGAGAGAGTGACGGAGGGAGTGCGCTTGAAGAAGAGTACTTATAGCCAAATCCAAATGGCTTTTGGGTGAGATGTCAGGCCAAGTGGTGTGGGTTCTTGAGAGTTCCAAGATGTTCCAGTCGTGGGCTTTTAGGCGAAGATGACATGTGTTGTGTTTTTCCTTTTTCCCGGCCTTGGAAGGCAAGGACCAACAAGTACACAGGAGGAAAGGTCCATGTTTTAAGCTTTGGATCCGTCGTCATCGACGGATGAAGGTCGAGTTCTATCAACTTATAAAGGCACATGTGAGGCAGGTCAAGGCAGGATATGTCTTTGATGTTGGGATGTGTTTTCAGCTGGGTCCGGTCATTTTGGGGGGGAGGCTCACCAGTGGTCCATGGTGTTTCATGGGAACATTCACGAGGTTTTCGGCATCTCACGACGTCTTTGCTTGTGTATGAATCACCAGAACCTAGAAAACCCAAGTATGCAAAAAAATGTAATCGTGTTCTTTTCCGGCAAAACAAGGTCATCTCAGCCAAGAAACGTCATTGTTTTGTAAAATTGTAGTTGCTGCGATCAAGCCAGTGGAGGGTATGCAATATTCATTTTTTGTTCAGCTGCTTCCAATCCCAAATCCAGCCTCTTCTTACACCAAAAGGTAGTTTTTCACCTAAACTTAAGCTGTTTGAGTCGGTTCCGGCGAAAGTGCAAGGATACACCGTACCTTTCGATGGTCCTTAGGATCACCTGCTTGCTTGCAACCTGTCTACTGACACGGCTGATTCTCCCAATAAGAACTTTGTTGGCTGCACATTTCCATTTAACTGACACGCACAATTTGGACAGTTTGACAATTTCCCTCGTCTCAAAAGTGGTGTGAGAAAAATTTGGCGTTTGGGCCGAAGTCATACAAAACCTGTAACGCAGTGCGAGCCCCTCTTGAGGAATCGAAACAACTACTACAGCGAGTTAGCTGTGTTTTGCTCCTGCAACTGCTGGAGAAGGGTGTCTTCCTCATCAGGGGGCTGCACAACATCATGTGTCGGGCAGGGCATGCCTTCAAAGCCCTCACCTCACACAGAGTGGCGTAGCTCGAAGCCAAGGAGTTGATAGGAGCAGGCGTGGCCACATGAAAGGAAACCTGCATGTACCAATGTACCAGAGGCCCCTGAAACAGCAAAAAAACGTTACATTCAAAACATCCAAACCGTGTCCGGCAATTTCCGCAATTTTTCGGGTGATTTCCGTCATTTGGACGGTAAATTCCGTAATTGTTTTTCGGCCACTCCTGCATGGAAGTTTAAATGTCCACTGAAGAAAAACGGAAATCTCAGCGATTGCAGATCGAGCTAGGTTCTGTTTTCCCTTGCCCCAAGCGTTTCTATACAGCTTTGAATGACCACCGCAACTTATCAGAATCTTCCAGGCAAGATGGAATCAAGGCATTCCATGACAAGCTGTTGGGATAATTTGACGCATCTCAAACACAGCATGCTCTCAGTGAAATTGGCTTCTGTCCGGTCGATTTCCAGGGCCTTCGCTTCGAAGTTCTTCGAGGGCAAAGGCAGAGCAGCTTTTCAACGTTTTGAAGTTTTGGCCATTCTAACCATGACTATGAACTAAATAGATAGAGCTGAACCACTTTGAAATGGTTTCGATGGCGATATGGATCTCCAAAGCAATCTTTGCAAAACGAGGAAGTTGCAATTTGTGCACAGGGGGCATCATGTATCATCTAAATGCCCTCTGGTGATTGCAACATCCTCTGTGTACAGAAAGTAAGTACTGGCGCCCTGTTCATTTGCTCACAACTCCAGACTGGAGATCTCAGACAGAATGATCCCATGATTTCTCAAACAAACAGCAGTAAGTATGCAAAAGGTAACAAAAGGTAACCCAAATCCAAAAAGGTAAGTGTTATACAAAATAACTTGTTCAACAAAAAACTGTTTTTTTCTGAAACTACATTCGTTTTGCATACTTTAGGTTTACTAGGAAGGTCATTATCGTTTATTATATCCAATACGTTCCTGCAGATGGTTGTTCTTTAAACATCTTTAAACTAAACAGCTATTGTTATAGAAGAAAACAAGAAAACACCACATAGATTAATAACTGACTAACTTATAAATATATGTGTATATATATATAGGGCTTGTCCTATTACCTGAAACAGTCAGTACACATCTTTTTTGGACAAGGCCTCTACTAATCATCATCCATTGTTACAGGTAATAGGATAGACCCAATATATATATATATACATGTATATCAGGTCATATCAGGTCCCTATAGGGCCCTAGGTTTTGGATATATTTGGTTGGTGTCTATGAACCACAGCTGCCGCGTCCTGCTCCCTTGAGGACTTGCCCAGATCCGCGCGCTGCGTGCGCGTTCGTGGCGGAGCCCATGTCAACGGTTCTGCCGGAGGCGGACGGGGAGAGGTCTGAAACTCACAGAAGCTACAGAGATTCAGAGCTGAATTTGACCCCAACATATATTACATAATGTTGCATATAACCCATCCATGACTGAGTTGCATAAAGTTGCATATATGTAACATCATTTATAGACCTCTTTGATCCATCCATGTCAGGAACTCTTCCAGTCCCATGCAATGTTGGGGAAATGGTGGCCTTCTCAAACCCACGACGGTCAGATTTCTGAGTGATCACTCACGTACTGCGACGTGACGTGATCAGCAGTCGCCGCACGGAGCCTCACGATCGGATCGTTTGGGATCGTTGGGCACCTGATGGGGTCCAGACCTGCTCGCAGCTCTCTTGCGTGGTTCACTCATCCTACTCATCCAATCCCCCCCTTTTTGAAGGAACAGGTACGTAAGTGATATGACAAGCATGTTGATCTATGTAGAAGGTCTCTCAGCTCCACAGTCGTGCGGTTTCGAATCAAAGAAGGGCAACACCTACAAGATTTACCTACTTAGGGCTTTTCCCATTACCAGCAAGAGTCGGTAACCAATTATCATCGTTCTTGATCAAGTCCTTTGCTCATCATCATCCACTGGTGCTGGTGATGGGATAGACCCAAATCTACAAGCAAAACCCTGGGGCCATGCCTTTGTTCCGGCCGCCAGATCTCGGGCTCCAGATCACCAGAGGCCCGGAGAGCGTGGCTGGTGGCCGGCTTCTGTCTACCTGAGGGTAGGACTCACATAGCGGTAGTAGAGGGAGACCCTCTGGTTGACTTTTTTTTCTTTGCATGAGCCGAGAGAGTCGAGTCTGCTGCCGCAGTTCATTCCTTGTGTGCCGGAACGGTCAGCGCCGGTTGACCGATTGGACTGCCAGACGGCAACCTATCAGGCTCACTAGGCAGACCCCGGTTTCGTTGGATCTGCTTCGGGATTCCAGGTGTTGTTTTCCAGAAAACGTTTGAAGATTTGAATGTCACGAAAGGTAGCTTGAGCTACCTGAGTTCTCCTTGCTTTAGCAAAAATGTATTACAATCAGGAGTTGGGATTGTGCATTGAGTTTGGTCCTGTAAGAGTTGATTCTGTTCGTCGGGGGGGGGGGCCCGGGATCAAATTCCCCCTGCGCCGGTTCACGCCGTCATGGACTTCTACCAGGGTTGCTTGTGATTGCCTGCTACCTTTCGTTCACCCCCCTCCTCTCTCAAGTGTTGATAAGTTTTCTTCGGTTGATTATGTAACTTCCAGCCTGCCAGGTCTTGATTTATATAAAACTTCCAGGATCCGTTGATGTTGTCCTTGAGATCTTTGAGTAAAATCAGAATATACATTAATGTACTGTAGGTGGCTGGTCACGCAGCCATGTTTCGATTGTCGCAACGTGCTTGCATGCACTGGTCATTGCTGCGTGCCATTGATCTCGGGGCTGCGATAGCTTTTGCTGCATGATGTTGCCTTTGTGGGTCTTCTCTTTTGACTTCTTTTCTTCTAGCTGTATCAACCAGTCGCGTTGCAATTCTACCTTCCAAGCAACAATGTCAGCATTTTGATGAAGGTTTGACTGCTCCCTGGTCAGTTTTCCAAAGACTTGTTGTTCTGCGCCGTTTTCCAATGCATTTCTACACGGTGGATGGTTTCGAGCAACCCGAGGTAGCCCGATGCAGTGACCGCTCCGTCAGGGCAAGAGCAAGAAGAATGCATTGAGTTCCAAGTTCCAGCCGACCTCGCAGGCAGGGTGTGGGGTTTCCCTGCCGCCCTAAGGGAAACCCCGGGCATGCCCGGGGTGGGCGGGGAGATTGAGGCATGTCTCTCAGCCGGCTTCGAAGCTGCATCAATGGCAGTGTTCAAGCTATACCTTTGCATGACCGGAATACATGTCCAGGGGCCAACATGAACCCCCACCAGGACGGGTGAAAGAACAAGCGATCGGATGGTGATGGCATTATCGAGACGGTTTTTGCATAGATCCTGATGATCCTACAAGGTGTGCAACGATCAATGAGGTGACACTGCTTTGTGGCATGGCTTTTTGCAGCTAGCCTTTGAAGCTAGCCTTCCAAGACCATTAGAGCGTATTAGAACAATGGCTTTGTAGTTTAAACATGTCTAAAACATCCCAAAACCCTTAGATTCAACCCTTATCCATCATATTGCCATCATATGGGCCCGGAATCCTATGTTTGGTAGGGATTGGACACATTTTGGGGCCGGGCAACGATGATGCGTCACGGTTATCACGGATGCTTCGCCCGCCCAGGCGCGCCATGGTTACCTTGGCCACTTATGCCTTCAAAATTCCCAGGCGCCGAGTAGCGGGTTTTGTTGTTTCGGTTCCCTTTCCTGACCAGGTGCTGCTGTTTCTGGGAGTTGTTTTAGTCAAACGAGCACATAATGCAGGTCAAACATGTCAAACATGGTCAAGCAATCGTTTCGAAGCACCTTTCCGTGGCAAGAGCGGGGTTTGACCACTAAGCTGGACCAGGAGGATCCTCCCACCAGTCACGTCCTCCTTCGGCAGGAGGATCCTGCACAAGCCTTGCGGAACATCACAGCGCTCGATGCTCCAAGTTTCCTACCCAACGTTCGGGCCGCCCGCAGCGCGTCCGTCCTGTGGCGCGTCCGCGCGTCCGTCCGTAATGGGTACGGTCCCACCGGTCCGACCGGCGGCCCAAACCGGGGCGGAGAGAAGGAACAAAACGGCCATCAGAGTAGAGGATGGCACTGGCACCCATGGCCATGTTTTTCACACCAGAAAACTGGATCTTGAAGGGCCGAACCTCCTTTGTTCCACACAAAAGACAAAAAGACCTGGCGGAACTATGACATATCCAACCTGGCTGAGTCATGTCACACTCCCCCAAAGCAGAAACCAACAAATAAGAGCCACTTGTGGTTCAGAACAAACATGTTTTGATCTGTTGGGTTGTGAGAAGGATATCACTCACGACCACTCACATGTTTTCCCCCGGTCGAACGCGACTAGGTCCTCAAGTTGGACGTCCAAAAAGAGGATCTTCCCACCATTTCCCACCAGTGGCAGATGGCATGCCCACTTCCCCTCAGTGGTTCTGCCACCTCCAGGATCGCCTTCAGGATCTAAGAAGTGGGCAGATCATTTTGGATGGATCACTTGGTTTGTGTAAAGGTTCCGAAGTGCCGGAAGCCACCTAAAATGGGTTCTCTTGGAATTCGTGAAGCCCTTCACCGGACCACATCGGGGTTCGGGTCGTTGATCATGTCCCCGTTCAGGCTTCCAGGGAGTTTTGCTACTGTATTGTAAATGTCGACGTGTGATTTTACTTCAACCCCCCAAAACATAGATTGTAAAACCTTTTCAGGCATTGGGGGGTTGTTATTAATCAAGAGATACCAACAGTTCTAACCCAAAATGTGGACACCGGCCAATTCGGGTGTCAAGAGCCCTAGCATCATCATGGTCTTCCCTCCAAGTCATCCAGCATCATTATGGTTTGGTCTCCGTCCATTTCCTTCCGTCTCCTGCTCTGGGACTGGCCCATCGGCCCATGTTCTTCGTCCGAGGTCATGACGCTGCAGAGGGCCTCCACGCCGTGGCAGTACAACACGCCGTGCCGGCAGCTGGAGGCGGTCGGATGGCAAAGAGAAGGACGAGAGATCATGCGGGTAGGTAGGTAAGTAGTTCCCGGGGTCACGACAAGGCAACAGATTTCCCATGATTTACCTCCAATTCAAGATCCTTCAAGAACTATTTTAAACTATGAATGTAATGGTTGAAACAGGCTTGGAGGATCAAAGACTATAAGTGAAGGATGTGCTTTTGATTCAGGGACTCCAGCAGTTTCAGCCACCAAAAATATCCAAAAACACCTCGGGATTTGGCATCTTGCAATCGGAGTTGGACCGAGGGGAAGGAGTTGGGAAAACAGCTGGCTTTCAGACTCTCGAATTGATTGTGGTCAGCTCGAGCTTTGAGCCGTTGTAAACCCAAGGTGTCCAAGATAAAATCTTGCAGCGACGCTATATTATAATCTATCCATTGTTATATCGAATATGTTATATATATATGTCGTGTTTCTATTTCAGTCAAGCTTGCAACTGGCATGCAGTCCCAGAACACAGCTTTCAGAACTTATGAATTACAAGGCGATACATGCGTTACACATCCGTGCAATTGATACCACGCAGCTAGTAGTATCTTCCCCGACAAACCATGTAATGTATGGAATATTTGCCTAAATTGACACTTAAAACATCTTAGAACCACCCCAAATGTAGGCAAATACTACATACATGGATTGTCTTGGGATTGGAGTGCGCCAGCTCTACAAATCTACGCTCTCTACAATGGGTTGCTTCGATATTTGATCGACGGTCGTCGGATGTTTTTTCAGTCGACCACACTCACCCTGCTTGACCATGTGTATCCATGTGTTGTTCATGTGTTTTTCTCATCCAAAAGCATGGGTGGTGCTGGTAGGCCAGATCTATGATATTTTAAATACTGCTTGGACCTTTTCTGCGGAAAAGGTCCACCACAGACACGATGTCCTCGCTCTCGCCAGGGGCCGTTGCCCACCGAGTCCTCACAGATGGGTGGGGAACTCGCGAAAAGAGATGAGGAAGAGGAGAAGATATAAAAAAGGCCAAAATGATTCCATGAATAGGAGTTTTCATGTTTTATGCCATATCGTGCCTAAAGTGGTGCCAATGTTCTTGCCTTTCAGAATTTTCCTGAGTATGTTGAGATAGGGGGAGTCTATGGCACGGACCATTCTTTCCCATGTGCAATCTTCCATGTGGATGACAAGATCCAGATCCAGAGTTCAGAGAAACAGAACGAACTGATTCCATGACGTTGAGATTGTAAGAACATGTTCGGCTTTCACTCCCGTCAGACCGTTGACGTCAGGCCGTGGTTCTTTGGGTTTGGCTTTTCCTATGGGTGAATAATACCCTTCTGGAAGTCTTGGGAAAGCTTGGATCTTTTCATGTGAAAGTCTGGCGCCATGGATGTGTTCTCCATGGGTCGCTTGAGTGTTGGGGATGGAACAGCAAATCCTTTGCACAGTGTTGGGCCTGTTGGGCCCCAACGGTGAAAAGCTCAGTTCTCCCAGTGACACACCGGAGTCGCCGGTCACTGGAGAGCTGGCCGGGCGCCGAGGTGATGAGTCGCCCAGCAGAGGCCGTTCAAGAGCGGGTCATAAGCAGAGAGACATCAAGAGGACCCAGAGCTCGTCCTGGTTTTGGTCACGGAAATGTATGACAGGAGCACACCATGGGACCATGCTCATCCATGCTCCGCGTTCCCGTTTGGAGTAGGTGAGTACAGAGCATTGTTCGACGATGTCGACTTCCAGGGCTTCCAATTTCTGAAGAAGTTCTGGATTTAGCTGTTAGGCTCTTAGATCAAGAAAGCAAGCAGCAGAGCAGATTCTCGCATGTCAGAGAACACCTGCACTCACCTGCAGCCTGCAGCTGAAGACCTGGATTTCCAGACGATGGAAGTGCAGTACATCAAGCCAGCCAGCTACATTAATGCGACCAGTCGCTACGTCACGGCATCTCTGCCACCAGACACCGGGGCGCCGCCGGCGCGTCTGCGGGTCATCGCGGCGCCATGCGGAGCCATCCAGCCTTACGGCAGCGAGCGGCGAGGACCCACATGCCCGATCGCCTTGGGAAGCAGGCAGGCGCCAAGGGGTGTCGAAGTGGTTTTTCGGTCGTGGCTGGGTAGACGGTGGTCGTTGGGGATTCTCCCTATTGTTACAACCGTGATAAAAAGGCCTAAGGCCAGAAATGATGCGTTACACTGCCGTCGATTTGTTCATGTATTTGTCTTCTACGTTTTTTTTTCTATTGATATGTAGTATATATATAATTATGTCATATTATGTAATGTTTCTGTTTACTAGGGGGTGGCGCCCAACCCCAAAGATCCTTTCGAGGGGTCACCTGAGTAGGGGGATCACCTGCAGCTCCATGGGATCCACAGTCCGTGTGGAAACAGTGCCCTTTGTGTGGACCAACATTTGATGGTGCCCACAAAACTGAAGATGCACGATCCTAACCACAATTCGATCCAACCATTTGTGACCTGCCACAAGCATGAGTGCGTGATTTGGGACTACCAAGTGGCGGTTTTCTGTCTGACGGGGGGGACATCACAAGACAGATGTGATCAAAGGTTCATTGGTTAAATGGAAGGAAAACCCGTTTCTCAGGTTTTTTTGCCATGCCATGCCACTTTCTTGGGTGGATCCTGCGTGCTGTTGCGCAGGTGCCGTTCAATAAGATGGAGATCGTGGCCGGGGTCCCAGCGGCTTCAGAGTAGATGGCAAAGTTGCACCCTTAGATGGCGGCTTTTGAATTTACACGTTGGCTCCCCAGGACTTGCGCCATGGGCAATCTAGACTTACGCCATGTGTGTGTGTGTGACATCTCAAGATCTAGGCCCACAGTCTTGGTGGCTAGGCTAGACAACCCTTGTGCAACTGTGCAACTGGGTCATATTATATCATATTATACATATGCAGAGATGTAATACATTACTAAATTTGGATATGATATGGGGCGATGGGCGACGGGGATGTTGCGTGGCGAGAGGCCTGGTTGTGCCAAGCTGTACAGGGCTCCCAACCAGGGAGGGTGGTGTTCCACATCCCAGCCGTCACGGACTCCTGCTCCAACTCCATCCTCAGCTGGGTACAGTAGGAACTACACAGGGTGACTTCACCCTACCCAAGATTGCCCAAGTACCTTCAGCATGGAGCAAGTTGGAACCCTGCTGAGGACACGTCCACCACTGTTCGGACCCCTCATCCCAGCCGTTTTTCGGTCCACCGCGGGGTCCCCGGTCCTCGGGGTTCGAAGGTCACCTTAACGGTCCTCATGGTCTTGGCCCTCTTTGCCATCGTCGTCAGCACCATCTTCGCCCGTGGCTCCGTGGCTGGGCGTTCAAACGGGCGAGTCTTCGAACGGTTTGGGGCGTAGGGGGTGGGTGGGGTCATATGGGGTGGTGTATGATTGTGTATGTAATGTTGCGTAATGCTGTGTATATACTTTCTTTGGGGGGGATGGGGATGGGTCATGAGGTTTAGCCCACAAATTGAGGGCGTTAGTCGCGGGATCTTGGAGGCAATGTTGCAGTAGCCTGTCTAATTCTTGCAAAACAGGTACCACTACATACAAATAGGAACCATGGGTAAACCCAGCAACTGCTAGACGTTTTGAAGATGATTTTCCTCTACTCATGCGGTTTGTTTGTTCTGTTGGGGGACTACAACTTCTTTTGGAGAACTAGTGAGTGGCTACACGATGATATTCCATCCTTTTGGGAAGGCTGATAACTTCTTTGGGACTCAACCACCACCTGCAGATGGCGATCACTGCCGCTCAGGGGCTGAGTCGCGCGCAGAAGCTCTTCTATGGTCACAAGCTTGAGGATGACAGGCCAGTCCACAGGTGATTGTTCAATCGTTGGGCATTCGGTAGCAGAAGGGGAACTGACCCTTTGTGCACCTCCCATTGGCTTTAAAGTGGTGTTGGAAGAGGACTCCCGGCCTGATCGGTCCGAATGTCCTCCCAATCACTCCTGTCGGTGGTGGCATTGCAATACTATACCAGGACCCTCAAGGGGTGGTTAATGGACACCCCAAATCACAGCTAAGGGGCTATAAATAGACACCCCTTGGAGGGTCCTGGTACTTGGCTTCTTAATCATGATTAATTCAATTTAGAGCTCGGGCAAGCAGCAACACCTGTCGACACCCCGCTCGTCGAGAGGGTCTCCAGTTTTCCAGCGGCCTGAGTGATATACACTGAGAACCAGAAAAGCGAATGGTGAGCGGAAAAAGACTTGTAGGTCCATTTCTGAAGTGGAAACCCAAACCCGGAGTCCAATCGCCCATCGTCGCACGACTGATCACCTATATCATTTGAGTCTGATTCTCCAAAAAGAAGACCGATGTGATGCAGATATACAGGTGATCAGAGAAACCAATGATGATCATCGTCTATAGAAAAAAAGAAAGAAGAGTCCCAAGCACGGAGGCCGCTGGATCTGGACTCCACCCCCCCTGACTTCAAGAGTCGCCGCTGGATCGCTGGATGGTGGTGACCGATCTCGGTCCACTTCAGGCCGTTGCCGTTCCTTGATGCGTTACAGGTGACTTGGCCGTTTCCGGGAGGGTGGTGGGAAGAGGCGGGCGAGACATGACGAGACCGAGCGCGTGGCTTCACCGTACAAGTCTATCAAGTGGATTCAAGTGGTGTAGTGTAGACTCTTGATTAATTACCCCCCCCCAGTTGAATTGGAAGCGTCAAGTGGTGTAGTGTAGGGTTGTCGATTGGTGACCCTAATTTCGGGCGACCCCCCCCCTTCAGTCAGAGACTCCAGCGACGAGTCCGGGGACGTTGCATATCCAACATCAAACAGCCGTACGCCCCGGTGAATCCGAGGGACCCATCAGGCACCACGGGCCGATCCAAAACCCAAACGGGTCGACCTGAAAGGGCTCGTAGGATCCGGATCGGGGGCTGTGATGTCATGTGGGGTGGAAGAGACGACCGAACATGCGCTGACCGGTCAGTTTCACAGTGGGTGAAGCACTGAGCATGGACGAAGGAGGTGAGAAACACGAGGACTTGTCACTTGAGGACTTGAAATACTTCGACGATCTTCAGCCTCTTTCAAACCCTATGCCTGTGGATGTGGGTGTGTGTGTGTGTGCGTGTGGGCGGTGTGCATGTGTGTGTGTGCCCGTGCGATCAGTATCCCAGTTGCTGCCAGTTGCTCAGGTTCCTCCAACCTCCAACTCTTCTTTGTGAGATGTGGCAGTGCGACCACAGAGATGGTATGCCGAAGAGCTGAAAACAGCGGAGTGATATGGTTGTGTACACTGTTCTTTCTTGAAGAGATTTGATCTCCTTTGGTTGAACAGCCATCGTTCCATCAATATGTTGTTGTTCTGGGCCAAGTGAAGAAGCATTCGTGGCTGACGAAAGGATGTCAAAGCTTGCGTTTCTGTGCCGGTTGGCACTTGGATCACAGCGCTTTGCCGGCTCAAAGAGGCCTGCATCGTACACGGCTGGACGTGTCGGATGAGTTTGAATCGAAACAAGCAGACACGGGGCCCTGTTCCTTTTTCCACTTCCATGGCTTTTGGGCTCCAGATATCACCCACCTCATGCAGACCAGCCAATGATTGGCACTGAGCCTCCCCAACGCAAGACGCGCAGATGCGGGAGCAGACTGAGGGCGCTTGGCCAGCGGCCAAAAAGAAACACGAGTCACGAATCGATGGGTTTCCAGCATGAATTACAGTATTCGACTTTGGAATTGCGACAGTTTGGTCTCCTTGGGACAAAAGTATATTTTTTGATTTTGGAAGCACACTGTGAAATCGTCGTTTCCAACGCTTTTTTCGCACGCAAAGTTGTCAAGATCTGGACCCCCTGACAATGTTTGATGTCGAATCCACTGGGCTTATAGACCGTCCATCGGTTTTTGCGATGACAGAGAGACTTGAATTCGAGTACACACCGAAGCCGCGGTGTTTCCACACCAGGCCAGGTCGTGTGGCAGTTTCTTGGTCCCAGTCCATTCACTTCGGTCTCAGACTTTATCAGAGTTCTACCTTCGGATGACATGGGATTTAGAAAACATACATGAGAACTCACACATTCCCAAGTCATTCAACTGAGTCGAATCCATTCGGATCCACTGGTTTTAGGTTTTATGGATTGTGAGCACCTTGTAGCCCAAAGGCTCAGTCCTGCCGGGGAGCCGCTCAAGAGCGGAACGTCAGCTCTGGTGCCAGGTAGCCAGATGTTGAACTCGACCAGTCGGCAGGCGTGGAGAGGTGGAGGGAGGTTTCTTTTGTTTTTTTCTTCTGATTTTGGGTTGGTTGATGAAGACCAAGACCTCTACATGGATTATGGTAGAGGTCTTGGTTACCATGGAGCATTTGATCTATATAGATATTCAGTCTTCCAGAATCGAAGCCACAGCTCACACTGCTTTGACTGTGCTTGTTGGGGTTGGCATGATTGACAGTGCTTGCTCGCTGGTTTTTCAAGGGTACATGGCATACATAGTGGATCATAGTGGCATGCATGTATAGCATCCGTGTTTTCACAGAGGGGCGAATCCAGAGTCCCCGACTCCGCTGCAGAGTCCCCAGAGCTCCAGAAGACAGAGACCCCAGCCCACTGCTTCAAGGAACGACATGAAGAATGAAAAGCTGCCAGCAGATCTTCAATTGACTCACTCACTCTCACTCACACTCGCACTCTCCCACACTCACTCTCACTTTCCACCGGGAGCCTCGAGCAGTCTACCACAGAATGCCTCCAGATGCCTGGTACCTGCCTCCCAAGTCCACGCACCGTCCGCCGCACGGAGCGCCTCCGTGCGCCTCGGGGTCTGCCGAAACGTGCGCCAGAGCATCTCCGCCTCCGCCTCTGCGCCCATGCCTGCGAACTACGCTGGGGGGCTGAAGGAGTGGAGGGAAGAACTGGTTCATGTTTGGATGGAGTGGAAGGGAGATGAAGGGATGGGATTTGCTGGGTGGATTTGCAAACATGGGGAGCGAAGATACGCATAAGTTGTGCTGAATTGGATTAATGGACGACCAAGAAATCGAAGCAGAGTAATGCTGCAACTGCTCATAATGGTGAAACCATGCAACGGCCTGTCTCCAACGAGGTTGGGGATCCACAAGGTTGTGTGGCGCCTCTTTGTGCTTGAACCTGTGAAGGCTTGGACACCGAAGTTCCGTTCAGAACTCCTTTGGACCAAGGGAAGAGCAGATTCAGATTGAGCGAAGAGCGGCAGCTCAAGATGATGTCCAGTCGGCCGCCGAAGAATGAGGACGGCAAGAAGCTCTAGACTTTCTACCGCACAAGACGATAAGTTGGGTGTGTATTACCTGTAAGAGTCAGTCAACCAGCTAAATCACTACTTTTGAATCAGGCCTTGGACGTTAACTCCATCATCCACTACTAAACAGGTCGACTCGGAGAGACCCTATCGACTCTCGACTCTCGACATGGTCCAGCGGCCCCATGGGTCCGGTCCCATGTTTTTTTGGGAAAGGGGGGATGTCATGTTCGACTGTTCACTTAAACAGGCAATTCCATTCGTTCATGGTATTTTTTATGACATTAAAACAATACTACAAAATAATCACCCGTATACACAAGCTTGTATACACCATTGTTGGATCAACCCAAAAGGACTAGTGGCTCACCTGTGCGACAAAATGCCCGGGTACTCGCTCGGGTACTCGTGCGACTTGTGATGACCCTGTGAAAGGAAAGGGTTTGTTGGAAAGGGGCAGCCAGCATCCTTGCGGACGGTCTGGCAGATTTTAATATGATGCGTAAAATTGCGTAAATATGATGTAGTTAATAGATCACCTTCTAGAATGAAGATATCATAGAACATCATGGATGCTTATTGATCAGATGATGATTAATGATCAGAAATGATCTATAGCACAGAAATCCATTTTGTTTATTCAATTAAAATTCAATTAAAGATCAAATCATTTCAAAGATAGACCTGGAAGGCCCGAGGTCCGTTCCTGCGCATCATCTGAGGTCCGGCGGATCCGACGCAAGGCACAGCTCTCCAGGAATGCGCACGACTACAGGTGGGGTTGGGGGTGTGGCATCAAGGGACTGGAAAAGGGAAGGAACGCCCGTGTTGTCGGTGGAATTGAATGATGGATCATGATGGATCATTGGATCATAATAGATTGATCCACCTTTTGCGGGTCCCAAGCAAGGAGTGTGTTAGTGAGAGCGAGTGTGAGAGATTTTGAGACTGCACGAACTTGCTGCTTTTTGGTGCTTTCTCATGTTTTCTCGCTTTTTTGGGGGCTTCCAACGGAGCACAGGCAGCAGATCGCGGATCTCAAGATGCTCGCGGACTCTGCACCTTGGCGGCCAATGCGGCATGGCTCGATGGGATCTGGCGACCAAGCCTGGAAAGTAATTCATTACTAGTAGCTTCTTGTTACTAGTAGCGATGGCCTCCAACCTAATAGTGATGGCCTCCAACCTAATAGCCATGGCCTCCAACCTAATAGCGATGGCCTCCACCTAGTAACAAAAAGAACACAACTGTTCAAAGACCTGGCAGCCTTCCGTTCAACCAACATAAGCTGGTTGACCTCGTTTTTTGTCGTGTAAATTCCTTAGTCATGTGGTTGTCGGCACAGCAAAATATATCGCGATACCCTTATGGTAGTCCTTATGGTTTGCGTGTTTAAGGCCGCGTCGATGGAAATGTCTATACTTTCACTGCAGCCATACGCTAACGCCTAGATTTTCTATTCTAACTTCTGGTGGTTCGAGCGATCAGATGTAATCAGCTTTGACATATCAGAACGGTGGGAACATCAAAACATAGTTTCCCATACCCCGCCCCACCTATATGAGCAACTGCCAAAACCTCCGATGAAGGCAGCATCACTACAGTGAAGACTAAGTAAGTAAAGTGAAGGAAACCTTCAGGAACGATAAGGTTCACAGAAAAAGAAAAAACACGATACTGTAAGGTTTTAGTACATGTTGTTAGGTGTGTTCAAACCCTCAGGAACGATCAGGTTCACATAAAAAACGATAACGTTGGGTCCTCGTGCGCACTACAACACATTTGAGGTTTTGCACGTCGCTCATATAGCCAGGGTCATACATGATCTACTTCGGTGAAATTTGGATTTTGACAGAACCTAAAACCCGCATGACACATATATAGAACATGTTATTGTGATTATTGTATAATAATATAAAGCAAAAATGCAAACGCTAACTTAACAGCAATAAGTGGAATTCAATTTGGCCCCGTTCTTTGTTTCTCGCCCAACCATATCTCGTGTCTTCCACGGTCGCTGTCCCTCGCTGAGGCCAGTCGTTCAGGCAACGTCTATCAGGCTTTGCAGGCGTTGGGCGTTCTTTTTTTTATCGGCGCTGGTGCTGGTTCGCTTCACTTTCAGCAGGTGGGTGTGTCGCTGGCATTTTTTTCGGGTTTTGCTCGTGTGTCCTTCGTCGAGGTCGGAGAACGGGGAGATGAGAGAGGACGGATCTTTTCACCCGAAGAATCAGCAAATGCACGGAAGCTGAAGGGCATCAACATCAATTTGAAAGGATGCTTGATGTTTCTGACTAGAGAGTATCTATACTATAGAGATTTGTTGTTTTTACATGACCAGCACATCCCAGCACTGCCATGGTGTCAACATCCCTGAGTTCCGAGACGACAAACACTGGAGGCGCCTTCTGGGTTTAGTGGTCAGTGGTTCGCAGTAGTCGTGGCTTTTTCGTCTCGGCTTCGACAGGACATGAAACCATGTAACATGTAACTATATCAAAAGGCATCAGACGCGTAGTGGCGTAGTGATCAGGATTTGATAGGTTTGATATGATGTATCCGACCCTCCCATTCGTACGGTACAGATTGTCCAAGGCTTATAATAATAGGTTTAGTACGTTTGGTGGGTTACCGCAGTACCGTCACCCCGATAAGGATATCATTGGACCCTGTCGTCGACCTACGGGCCAAGCTGATCACGAAAGGTAGCTTGAGCTACCTGAGTTCTCCTTGCTTCTTGCAAAAATGTATTACAATCAGGAGTTGGGATTGTGCATTGAGTTTGGTCCTGTAAGAGTTGATTCTGTTCGTCGGGGGGGGGGGGCCCCCCCCCTGGATCAAATCCCCCCTGCGCCGGTTCACGGCGTCATGGACTTCTACCAGGGTTACTTGTGATTGCCTGCTACCTTTCGTTCACCCCCTCCTCTCTCAAGTTCAACCAGACACGCTTTTGGAGGCCTACCACAAGATGGGTGTGGTTTTTGACAACCAGGGCATGTATGATGAGGCCTAGAACATTGCATGTTTTCACAGGCTTACGCGTGGCGGTTTTTTCGTCAGCAAAGAAAATTGCATGTTTCTTTGATACCATTCTAATATCTCATTGAGACACATTGAATTTTCAACACATCCAAACCCTCAGTTTTGTGTTTTGTGCCATGGCAATCTCGCATTTGTGGAGCTTTTTTCTGTGACTTGCAGTAGTTTGCAGGTCAGTCCTAGACTATGTTTAGACACTTGAAGGTCAAAAGGTCCCCACTCAATCTTGGAATACGACTGTTGAGTTCTGCCAACAAATCCCGTCAAAACCATCCCTAGAAGATCCTAGAAGCATCTCCGTCACCTGCTCCAATGCTTTTTTGGTTTTGGCAAGCAAGTAGCGTCCCTTGCAACTTGGAGCCAATACATGTTTTGTCCACCCACAAGTCAGCGCAATGGCCGGTTTCAAAGGGAGTGTCGAGAAAGAACGGGCAAATGATGATATTTTGCAGGCTGTTGAGTCGAAAATATCTTTCAAGGTAACCCGGTTGGTATTGTCATGTATTGTCACTGTCTTGTCCCAAAATAGATGCCGGGCCTCATTCCCAGGCATCCTAGCGTCATAAGTCATAGACAACATTACATGTCAGTTTTGTTAGAGATGATTGGAGCCGGATGACTAGAGCAGTGGTCACATCCTACAGTCCTACAGGCTCCCTGTGGACGATAAGAACGTGCAGCAATTGGTTTACTGTAATTTGAGGCAAGCGATACAAAGGTTTTGGCACAGTCCTTGCTCATCTTAAGACACAACATCATCATAGAAATTCTGAATTGGTCTTCAGCAGTCCATTTGTTCAGGCCATGGCGAACCAACGAACAAGTAAAAGCCGGTTTGCTTGGTTTGCTCTTGATGGGTGCACTTCGTTCTCACCACTGCACCGAACATGATCCTCCGGATCGAAGAAAGGACACCCGAGAATCACAGGTCGACGGTCGACCTGATCGCAAAACGAACGACGCTGTTCGCGAAGCTAGCGGTTAGCGGCCAGCTTGGAAGAGAAGCGCTGCCACAGGCCATTATGAAGTACAAACAGTTCTTGGCGCTGTGCATTACCTCCAAGAACACTCAGGGCGAGGCCGAAGCCTTCCGCCGGTCCGTGCCTACAAACCACTGGGTCCCGGGGGGCCGCTTTAGGAAGCCGCAGAGGTTTACTGTACTCAGTACTATGTTATACTCTGTTACTCTGTTAGGCAAGATGTTTGAGGAAGTTACTTTGTTTAGCTTGTTTGTGTCTCATTCTAAGAGATCTATAAGATGGTTTAATCGATTTATGAGACGATTTTCTAAAACGTGTTTTGCTACATGTTCCGATCCACCGAAAAAAAGGCCAATCAAAGCCTCGGCCTCGTTCGCCAAAAGGCCGGCCCATCCGGTGAGGTCCTTGAGGTCGGACCCATCCGGTGAGGGAGTGAGTGATTCGTTTCCGCTAGGCATTAGCGTACAACTGCCTGGGCATTGACTGCTTCAAGATGGGCTGGAACGCCCAGAGGGCCGCTGTTTCTTGTTTGTTTGGGAGGGGGTTGCCCTCTAAGTACGGGGGGAGCGGAAGTTACGAGTTTCCGCTGGGTGCATGTCAGCTACTTTGCCGTGCTTGGGATGGGTCGTTGGGTCGTTCAAATCTTTAGAGCAGCATGAAGTGTCCCCACTAATGGGTCGCTAACTTGCTACTAGTAAGAAGAAGCGACTAGTAGCCCCTGGCATTTACATGCATTTACTATTATAAGAACAAGAAGCAAACGTAGAGGCCATTGTGTGAGCGTCTTCTCCAATCCGGGAGCCTTGGGAGCCTTGGGAGCGTCGATCCGATGGCCATTTGGCTCCCAAAAGGCGGTCTGAGTCGCAGTCGCAGGACGGTGCAGCACCAAACTTTAATGAGTCATTTGGTTGCGAAAGATGAAGAAAACAAGCACCAAACTTACAGGACAGGGGTTTTCAAGAGCCAGACCTGCAATTGGCACTTTTCGACGTTTCGCGAGCAACTGAAGCAGAGTGAAGCCAGGCACAGATAGCACAGCCTCTTTGGAAGGGCTTGGAGACGACCCGCCGAGTATTTTTGTTTCTTTGCGCAGCATGGCCTACCGCGTGAATGGCCTTCCGCCCTTCCAGGTTTCTTTCAGTATCACCTTCCCGGAAGGCTATGTGGGGAAGGACAAGTTGGACACAAAGTTCCAAGTTGAGGCAGAAGACTCTCAAGTGCAGGCTCGGTGCAAGCCATAGCTGTGACAGTGGGCTCTTATTAAGTGTCACATGGAAAGAGACAGAGAGAGAGAGAGAGAGGGAGGGAGAAAGATGTTTAGAAGAAACATAGAAGCTCACATGGTTTCATGATGTTTCATGATGTATATGTGCAGGCCGGAGTCAGTTCACCAGGTTTTCAGTGTTCTGCGTTCTGCCCATGTTTTTGCAGGTCGGTGTGCTGAATCAATTGGCTAAGACGGCCAAGTTCGAGACGAACAAGAGCTACTTTGTCAAAAGTTTTTCTGTCGGCAAGTCGTTTTGGACATGTATGTTTATTTCTTTTGTGTGTGTGTGTTGTCTGTACAATTTTGTACATATTGACATATTGGAATGTGTGCAAGGATGTGTGTCCTTGTCGAGTTGCGTGTGTTGGTCTCACTTTTCTCGGCAATTGCAGGCTGTTCCATCGCCAAGAATTTATATGGTTTTTAGTAAAGCTAGTTTCGTACCGAAAAGGTCTTACAACCTGCTTCCGTCTTCATAAATGGGCTTTCCCTCATGAAGGGACCCAGGGCGGCCATGACCCTCCCAGGAGATACGACCCTCAGCATTTCTCAGTCGTCGAAAACAACACGACACAGCGGCCCAAACGATCAGCGGGGCGGACAAGTCCCGGGGGTTGACAAGCCCGCGACAAGCTGTGTTGTGACTGGCAGTTGGGACTGTGAAGCTCGAAGCTAACACTCACAAGAGAAGGGGGGTTGTGACTGTGTAAGTCACTTGCTTGCAGCTGTCAGTGTCTTAATTCACAGCACTTGGATCATTACACCATCACGACTAGAATTTCAGTGCTCCAGCCGAGTGGTGAAATCATTGTTCAGGAAGCGACCCTACAGAAAAATCAGAAAAAATTGCTGGAAGTTGAAGCAGCTATATACATGTTTGGCGACAATCATTGAAGACTCCAAGCTTCTGGTCAAAGATGAGTTAGTCAGGTAGTATTGGACAATACTTATTGCATGCAAGGAATTGGGGCATCTCCAACGTCGTGATGTGCTCGAGTCAAAAGATGAACAGGTAACCACAGCCTTGGCGCTGTGATTGGAACTGCGACTCAAGTGATAGACACTCAAATGCTTGACAGGGTCTTTCCAGACCCACATCCAGGAGAGGGTCTTTGAACATCAAAATATAGAATATAAGCTCTTGGGTCTTTGCTTGAGCCTGGAAACACTCAATGACTCGCGTTGGGACGTCACGTGCCTTTCTTCTTCAGCCGGACGCAGAATTCTGGAGCGATCTGGACCGGACGCAGCTCTCAGCCTCTTCGGGGCCATTGGGATTCGTTGCACTGCGATGCACCGGAAGCGAAGCGGAGCGGTCAGTGCCTCTCTAGTGCACTAGAGACCGGTGGTTCTTCGGCCAACTGGACCATGGTGGGTCAGTGCCTGAAATGGGGGATGCAGTTCTTGACAACTTACCCACCACAGCCACCCTACGTGAACATCAACCAACGCAGCACAGCTGGCCCAACCATTGGACCATTTGGGACCCTCCAAACCCACCCCAAACATCCCCAAACATCTTAGAAGGTACTTGGAACATCTTGGAACTGGGCTTTGCCGTGTGGAGCCTTGGACAGCGCCGATCGGTTTCGCTCCAGGCACCACCTTGGACGAAGATTCCTTGGAGCTGCATACGTCGCTGGGCCGCTTTGGAGGTGCTGCGCCACCTCAGCTGTAGAGAAAGAACATGACACTTACAAACAAAGATATATAAAAATATATATTTAGATATATATTAGACGTTTAGAACATTTTAGAATTTTAGAACCATCGAAAACACAAGAAGAACGATGTAGCATTCATGTGGCCTTCCATCCCAGACCTTTCCCAGGATCAGGTGGCCCCGAAGGGACTCATGGTAAATCAACAAACCCAGATTCCCCCCCCTTTGGATTGTGAAACCATCTAAACCTCTTCTATGTAGTGGGGGTGAAATATGTTGAATATTGTTGAACGCCTATATACTATATATACATAAATTTGATCATGTCTCTTGGGGTATCACGTGCTCGGGCAAGCCCGCATCTTAAAGGTTTGGGGTCCAATGAGGCCATCTCTATCCCTTTCTCGATTTGGAGACCAGGGCCATGGTCGAAAAATACTAATAACATGAATTCAGGGCTACCCCCCATGAGTCAAACATGAGACTTGCAGGCCTGTATACAGGTAAGAACCTTTCATGACAGGTAGGAGGACAGCCAACGGGTCGTTCAACCTCAGGATTTCCCCGGTTCCTCGTGCGTCGCTCGCCGTGGAAGCTCAGGAAGCTGGAAGCTTTGCGCGTCATTGCCCAGACGGGCCAATCAGCCAAGGCTTCCGTTCGATCCCTTGAATCCTGGCGCAAGATGGCACAAGAAGAGTCAGGGAATTGACACACCCCGGACGGCCCGGACTGTGGAACCCTCAAGGAAGCATTTGGAGGTGGTCTTGTAGGAAAGCAAACAAGACAGGGAGGTTTCCCAAGCTAGAATAGGGGTGGGACTCCCTCCTTTTCCCATTAAAGTTCAAACGTTGTTTTCCACGTGGTCCTTATGCCCAAACGGCCACACTGACTCGTGGAGCCCCGATTCGGCAGCCCGATTCCGAGGAGGACGACGAGACCACGGAGGGCTCCGACGCCGGGGATTTGGTCACCGCCACATCCTCGATGAAGACCTTGTCCAGTGAATGTCAGGAGCGAGTGGACGCTCCACGGACTCCAACCCTTTGGACATTGCCAGACAGAAACGGGTCACTGACCTCATTTGACGGAATCATGCCGAAAAACCCTGAAACAACCTGATTCATTGAACCCCACCGGGACACCTTGGACGCCTTCCACCGGACTCTGTGAATGGAGCTGAAGTAGACGCCCCAGAACGTCCGTTTTTGGAAGGTCGCCACCTGTTCGGAGAGGTTCAAACGACTCCTTTTCCTGAACTTTTAGGGATCGAAGTACTACGTACACACTGTCCCTGGAATCATCATGCAAAACATGGAGTTCACCATTGTTGTAGAAGAAACATGTTGTCATTCATTATTTAACTATTCTAGGGGTCCTGTGAGTTCATGGAATAATTGGTTCAGAATACTTTTATGGAATAATAAACTTAGGCAGGGGTAGGTCAAGGGACCCTTGGAACAATGTTCAACAAAACCTATATTTATAGGATACTAGGTTGGAGGCCATCGCTAATAGGTTGGAGGCCATCGCTAGTAATCTACAATCCACTATATAAATGCTCTTTAAATAAGCTAATACGCATGCGCAGGCAGTCCTGGTTTCCAGGATCACTAAGGAACACTAAGGATTTTACGCGAAAGCAGTATAACTAGTTTGTCGAATAGGCAGTGTCCCGAACAGGGACCTTTTTTTCCTCAATTGCTCTTTGCAACAGTCTGGGGGGCCTCAGTGAGTGGCGGCTGTGGACAGGATCTCACTACTACTACTACCACCACGACTACTACTACTACTACTACTACTACTACTACTACTACTACTACTACTACTACTACTACTACCATCCACCCAACCAATTATCCACCCTTCCAACCATCCACCCTTCCAACCATCCAACCAACCAACCATTCAACCACCCAACCATCCAACCACCGTCCAACCATCCAACCATCCAGACCCCTGGCAGAACTGAACCCCCCTCTCTGGAATAACTTACCTGTTGCTGAGGAGATGGCGGGTGGTAGGGCAAGTAGTGGTAAGGGTTCTGGTGATGCCTGGTTGCTTTGCCACACCTTTTCTGCCTTGCATCCAGGGGCTGGTAGGAAAGGATATACTATTCCACACCCAAGGCAGAAACTGAACTCCCCCTGGAATAATTTCTTTTTGTTGGGGAGATAGGATACAGCAGGACAAATACTAGTAAGGCTTCTGGTCTAGGGTTGGAAAGCTTGCTAAGGTTTAAGGCTATTGGGTTGGTTTCTATGCTCTTTGCCTGGTTGCTGTGCAAAACCCTTCCTTAGCTTGTATCTTTCGGTTAGTTCTAGGGGCAGACAGGGGAGATGATATTATTCCAAGCCCCTGGCAGAACTGAACCCCCCCTGGAATAATTTACCTTTTGCTGAGGAGATGGAGGGCAGTAGGGCAAGTAGTGGAAGGGGTTCTGGTGATGCCTGGTTGCTTTGCCACACCTTTTCTGCCTTGGCTGGTAGGAACGGATATATTATATTGTTCCATACCCAAGGCAGAACTGAACCCTGCCTGGAATAATTTCATCTTGTTGGGGAGATAGG